CTGAATAGTAAATGTGATGAGCTAGTAGTGACTGTCTGATCCTAAAGAACCTCTTAAAATAAATTCTGGTCTGTGCCCCCGAAACATATGCATGTTATTTCTACATGATCCAAGAGGCTGTGCAAAGAACAAGGAGCTTGACTGTTGCACAGCATCATGCCACAATGATTTTTGAAATTATTTTAGTAACAGGACGTAAGGAATAGACAGGAGGATGCTCAAGATTTTAAAGGCACACACCCTCCTGTGGCTGCAGTGGTCCAGCGGAGACATCTGTGCTGCAGAACTGCTCATCACCAAGATCCCCCACATCCTCCCAAAATCTGCCAGTGCAGCTGCTCATGTAAATAAAATGAGCAAAGGTGGCTTAGATGATAGGAACAGCAGGGCTCATCTCCTGGTCCTGACAGCAGTGTCGGAGATCATTCATACAACAGGGTGTTCACACAGGTGACTGGGACAGTGCATGTGAGGAGAAGCCAGAGGTGCAGCAGTTGGCATTAAGCTGGCAAGTGCTGAGAAGATCTATCAGATCCCAGCTAACTATAGCCCAGCTGTGACCAGCTTGCAGGGATCCAAAAGGCTGTGGCTTTGCAGGGCAGCCCAGGAAGGGGACTCGGTACCTAACGGTACAGGATGGCTGCATGGAAGGGGCCCCAGGGTAGTTTTGTGGGAGAAAAGGACAAGTAGCAATGTGTCAGACTGGGAGGATGCAGGCATAGGGTGATGTGATATTTTACAGGGTTGATTCCATATGAGATTGAGCACATGGTTTGCTGTGTTGAAATTGGAGAGCTCAGCCCTTTACTCACCTCCTTGACATCTCCTCAGGAAGATGCCAGAGGGGTAAGGAAATGGAGGACTGGAAATGTTCACCCATTTATGGGACCACTTCTAGTGTCCCCTCTTGCTACCTGACCCTCCTTTTCATCCATGCTTTTGTGCTGAGGGCAGTTAGATGCCAGCTTGGAGGAGAGATGGATGACTTTGGTTTTCCTCTTTAGTATCTTTTTGCTGTTCAATTTGTTCAGTATTTGGAGTGATTTGATCTTTACATTGTGTTAATTTAGTGGTGCTCTGGGTATGGTTATCTGTGTGCCCTGAAGGGCCTACTTTTCCATACTATATCAATGTGCAACTTCTGTTAACATCAAGGCATGGTACATGTGTAAAGGTGCACTGAACAGCTAAACTGTTCTTAAATACCTGGCTTTCCTATACAGAATGATTATAAATTTTTTGTCCTTGCCGTGTTTCATCAGAGGATGCTGCCACACCAGGCAAAGCTGGGGAAGCCTGATCATCCCTTTATTACAGAAGGGAAAAACAGGGAAAGAGATTAAAAGATTTGCCAGCACCACAGAGCAATCAGTGGCTGTGCTGAAAATAGAAACCAGGCTCCTGGTTTCCATTCCCCAAATCTGGCCTCTAGGCAACACGACTATATTAAAAATGTAAATGCAAATATAGAAAATATTTCCTTTTTCAAACCTTCCCTGCTAACATTTTGTGTCCTTTTGATTCTATGCTTCTCAGAATAAGCTGGTAGCACTTGAATGAAAACCTCAGGAACCAGATGAGCTGTTCTCACTGAACATAGCAAAGGAAACGGGACTGAACCACCAAAACCTCAGTGACCAAAAAGCTCATGGCAGAAGGTGGGAGGAGGCTTGTGTCTATTTTGAAACAGAAAAGTATTCAGTAGCTATAGGCTACTGTTCAAAACACTTTGATTACTGTATTTAAGGAAGCCAAAAGCGATACCATAGTGACAGTCCATCAGCCTTTGTATTCTAGAAAACATTCTCTCTTGTAATGCATAGCAGATACAAAGCTGGCAGCTTAGGGACATGCAGGCATTTTAACTGTTTGGCATTAAGTTTGCAGATGATGGGTAAATCAAACCCAACTGAGGTCTGAAGTACATCACCAGAAGAGAGAAGTGAATTGCATCTCACTGAGGTACTGCACAGCTGCAGGGCCTCTTTCTCTTCAAGCCAGAGATGCTGGCAGTACCGTTACTGGTCTCATTCCTTTGGGTTTGTCCCAGCTTTATTTCTGTTCCCATATTGTTTCTCTATGCTGTAAACAGGCTTGATGATCAAAAAAATAAAAATAGCATGTGGATGCAACCCAACCAAACAGCCAGGGTAAACTTCATGGGAGAAACTGGATTTAGAAATGCAGCCCTGAGTCATGCCAAAGAGAGTCCGATGTTAAAGGCTTTTTTAAGAAGCAATTGGAAAGCAGTCTCCTTTTAAAGACACTTCCCAGTGCTCATTACAGAGCCATAACACTGCAAATTGGGGCTAAATTCCACCAATCTCACCCTTGTGCATGTGTTTGTCTGAGTAGGGTTATGAGAAGTGGCTGCACTTGTTCAGAAATCCCCCATGGGGTCGGTGACAGCAGCATGTGGCTCACCATCTTGTCCAGCAAAACTCTGAATGCTGCACAGAGGGGTCATGCACACATTGTCACCGGAGCACTTGAAGTAGAAAGTTGAGTGTTATTGGACTCTAGGTAGAGATATAAGCCCCCCCATAGGGTGTCTCAAATTCCTGCTGTTGTTAATGGCAAGCTTCAATAAAAATTAATGGTGAAACTCAGGTGGTGTCAGAAAGAGACTGGGTTGGCCATGGTAAAGCTGATGCATCTTCCCTAAGACATCTCATCCCAGAGCTCAGCTCCTTCTGAATCCCTTTCCATTTGGCAGAGGCCCAAAATAAGAGATGAGATGAAATTTAAACCATGTTTGAAACTAGATGATCTTCAAGGTCCCTTCCAACCTAAACCATTCAGTGATTCTGTGTGTGATTCTGTGGCAAGCTAAGGACATCCCCTGTTCTCTGGAGTTATGAAGCTCCTTGACCTACTGCGTTCTGGGACCATGTGGTGCTTCCTGCAGGTCACTCACCTGCCTGGACATTGGAGACATGGTGGTGATGTGGGAGTGACACCTCGTGGTTCACAGGTCTGGGGTAACAGCCTGGCTCCTCTGCAGAGACGTGCTCAGCTTTGGTTGTGAGTCAGTCAAGAGATGAGATAAACACCTAGGAATTTCTTCTTGTGGTTGTTTTTTAGTGACTACAGTAGGCTCTTCTTTAGAAAAGGGAGAATATTTGCAAGTACTTCACAGTGACTTAGAACCAGCTTTATTCCAACAACTAGATTTTTGTTATCATAACCATAAAATTGCAATGCGTAAGGTGTACTGACTGCTTCTGGCTTTGTATCCCATCATCCCCTGTTTCATTAAGGCTTTGGAACTCTAAGACTGTTTCAATGGCTGGGTTCAGAAAAGGTCTTTATGTCATCTTCATGCTCATCATTGATACGATCGCAAGAAAAAAAGCAGTTTTCATTAGCAAAACTTTCCCCTTTTGCCTTTTTTTTGCTGGCTTAGGAGAGCAGATGTTGTCACTGATGGAGACTGAACGTGACTCAGTTTTCAATGCTCAGCCAGCAGCTTCTGAAATACATCCACATTTTTTGAGGTTAATAGCACTGTAGCCACCAATGTTGAATTTTTTACTGGTTCAAGACCATATGTCTCTGACCTAATTAGATTTTTATTGGCTAGTGGTTTATGGAGCAAACCTCTGAGGGGTTTTTGCCCTGTCCATGAAGAATCCCTTGCAAGAGGGAAATGAAGCTCACTAGCACTGTAATCCTTCTTTAAAATGGGCAAGCACCTCATTCACTTACAGGTTGGTAACTGTTCATGCTGTTAACCTGTCAGATAATACTGCTATATTTTAACTTAAAATTACTGATTGGATTAAATATTAATCTGTAACCTTAAAAGGAGCAAAAAGCATGGTTCCCCTTTGGCTGGTGATGCAGTGCAATGACAAGCTACCATTGCCAAACCCCACAATTTGCAATCCCCTAAAATGCTTCCAGGGGAGGTCTGGGTTCATTTAAAACTTGAATGGAGATGAGCTCCTTTCTCAGTGTCTGCTGAGACTACAGGCTGGATTTTGTCACTGTAAGTCATGTTTCAAGTGCTCCATGGGTGATAAAATATCCAAATTGTGATAGATTGAGTTACTTTATTATCTGCTGGGGGCACATTTACGGTGTTGCCCTTTTTGGTACGCCTGTTAGTGATGACTGCGATTCTGCTCATGTTTCTGTCACTGTCTCATATGGTCTTTGAACTAATCTTTTCTCATTTTCATCTGGCTTTTTCTTCTATAAACCAGGGATAATGGCATTTCTTTAGCTGGAGAGCACTTCACATTCAAGTGAAGGGTAAAGTGCTGTTGCTGGAGAAGAGCTACCATCTCTGACATGAGTGACAGACCCCATCACTCCTTTGGGAAATACGACGAGGCTTTATAAAAGATAATCTGCACGGCACTGCAGAAGCTTGTGTCTCACTTAACACCATTTAAGCACTTTAACCTTCTTCTGACAAATGGACAAATGCCTGGCCTTCAGCTCTGAACAGAAAACACCAAAACTCTCCAAATCTAGTAAGAGCCAGTGCCCCCAAGTTCTGTTACGTGGCACAAGCTCGCAATAGGCAGCTCCAACCTGGAAGACAAAGGTTGCGTGTGAATTAATGTCTTAAAGGCGCTTGCTGGGTTCAGGGTCAACAGCATTTTGGCTGTGCAAGGCACAGAGGGGTTGGGGCTGTGGGGTTCGGGCCAGAGCTCGCTTGGGGCTGCCCCGGCTTCGCTGTGCCAGGCTGTCACGGCTGTCGGCACGTATTAATGAGCTGAAGAGAAAGGTCTGAGGCGGCTCGTGCTGCTTCAAGGAGCCGTTCAGGGTAACATTTAAAACACAGCTCCCAAGAAAAATAAATGGAGAAGGGCTTAGTTTTTTCCTGCAAGCTGCAGCCGTGGAGCTGAGAAAGTGCTGCTGAGGCCACCCATGCCGGAGGGACCTGCCCTCCACGTGGGTCATGCAGCGTCCTGCTGCTCCCATTGCCTTCCCAAGGCATGGCTCCCAGCACACTCGTGCTTGCTTGGAGATGGGGATGGGGAGGAAAAGCCCACTCGCGGAGATGGGAAATGGTGTTTTCGGGGTTGCAACCTAAAGAACCCAACCTGGGCACCTGATGTTTTTACTTTGGCAAGGTTGGCTTTTATTTGGTGTGTAGCAATGCAGGACTATAGAGGTGGGGGGCTTTGCCTGCACGTGATTTCATGTTTGTTTTGGAAGAAGTGCTGGTCTCAGGCTCTGTTGATGTTAGGAAGGCAGCGGTTGCATGAGGATGCGTCCCAGCCTGATATGGGGTGATGCAGGCAGCAGAAGTGGATGTTCCCACAGTGCTGGGGATGGCAGTGTGGCTTTGCCACCCAGACACAGGCATGCATGTGCAGAGCTTTCTGTGCAGGTAAATGCCATACAGGCAGGGCAGGGCTGCCCATGGGTACCAGCAGGGAGCAGGTCAGGGTGGGAAGCAAAGGGTTTTTTCAGAGAGAAAAGGGAGGGGGGGGCGAAGTTGAAATCTTCATGCAGAAAGAGAGGAGTGGAAAAGTATTTATCTTAAATATGTCATGTTTGTGCATAATTAAGCACCAGCTAAAAGCTGGGATTGAAGCTTCTAGGATCAGAGACTGGGCAGATGGGATGAGAATGCCAGGGAAGGAGAATTTTAAAAACACAGCAAACCCTGCTCTAAGATATGCTGCAGCTGGGTTTGCCGGTGGTGCTGGGGAAGGAGAAGCCCAGTGTGATGGTGAACAGCAAGCCCTGAAGCCTCAGAGAAATGTAAAAGGCCTGAGAGCAGAGTTTCTGCCAGGCTGGCCGCTGGAGAGGCTAAATGTCTAAACGCAGTGCTCATCATGTAAAGCGGCTTCAGACTGGAGCTGCCACGTGTGCTAGGGGAGGGGATGGAGCATTCACCTCTGCTGTGAGGTTATTTTAACCTGAAAAACACTCTAGAATCAAAGGAATGGGCAATGTGGCTTGGAACTGAGGCCTTTTTCTCTAAAGCAGAAATGGAGTATTTCTTACCACCAGATGCCCAGAAGGGACATGAATTCACTGTCCACCTACAGGAGAGGTTGGGACGCAGCCGGGTGATGGGGACTTTGCTGCAGGGTTGGAAAGCGCATCCCAGTGCGCTCTGTGTGCCACTGCTGTACCTGCTGGTAAATAACATGGTGCTTCTCAAAACTGCCAGATGATGCTTTGGGGGACAGTTTATCCACCAGCTCAATGTAGTCCCCCACATCACAGAGCAAGATTCTGAAGGCTCTCTCTGCTGATTCCTGCAGGAGCAGGGCCCAAGCAGTGTGCTGCTCCCAATACCCCTTGCTGTGCAAAGTTACAGTAGGAACATCCAGAAATGGTGATTATCACAGTATGAATTTTAATCTCTCTTGCCCATTACTGGCTCCAAGGATGGAAGGAGACCTCGCTTTCTGCTCTTCACTCCTCTTTGTCCAAGAGTGGCTAATTTGGGAGGGCTCAGCCTCCAATTAATTGTACACAGCCCAAAGGAATTACTTTCTTTCCCAACTACAAATCCACGGGTGGATGGATCCTGGGGCACTCTGTATAAGCGCTTTTCTTTCTCTAATTTCTCCTGCGACTTTTGACATGGCCCTGCCCTGACTGGGGACATTGATGATTATTTTTTTTTCAGAGAGATCATTTACTCTTAGATAAAGATTAATTTTAACTTTAAATTTTAACTGAAATCTCTTAAGTGAAAACGTTTTTATAGGCCAGCTAAGATGCTGTTATCTTTGCCCAGCTTTGCCTCTGTCACGGGCTGCTTCACCGAGCAGGTAATAAGTAACCTTTCCTCCCTCTGGGTGGGTTGAGGGCAGAGGGCTGACAGAAGTAGGCTGATGGCCTCCTTGCTCCCTTCTCCTTGGGAATCGTAAACAATTTTAGTGTCAGTGACCTCTCTCTGCCCCTTGTTTTGGGTAATCCTTGTGGTGCACGCAGATGCCATTCCTATACCGTTCCCTGCTTCCCTCTATGTGGAGCCTAAAAGACCTCCCAGAAATGACTATGGTGAAAGGGCAGCAGCTGAGTCAGGCCCAGGGGAGCGGAGCTTCAGGCACAACGGCTGCATTCACAGCCCAGCCCTGACACACGCTCCAGGGCTGTCCAGGGCACAGCCCTGCACCACACTTCTCAGAGCCACATAGACAGGTCGTTGTCCAAGCAAGGATGCAGACGTACATATCCAGACTCCCAGTCTCCTGCTTTTACCACAGATGGTTTGTAGCACAAGTGGGTTTGGGGTGGATGGACCCTTCCCAGGTGATGCAGGGTTTGAGAGAGGACTGGGTATGACCTAGGATTACATCTCCTGCCTGAGATGGATGGGAGAGTGCAGGTTTGAATGGGCGTTGTGTCCAGTCTAAGTGTGAACCTTGCTGAACCTTGGAACAGTCCCAAAGCATCCTCAAGGCTGGTACCATCTCATAGCACAGTATGGAGCAGCACGAAATCCTTGTGATCTAAAAGACCTGGAAAAAAGAGATGTCAAAGTCTCTTTTCCTACCTAAGGGACCATTGCATCATTTGTCTGATCAGGGTGATTTTACAGAAGTGATGTGTTTCCACTGGTGTCTCTGACAGATCTCACACCATTAGACACTGCCACAAACTAGTGGAAACAGCAGGTCTTTTACAAAACCTTCCATGTTCACACTGAGTCTGTAATGCAGCTCTCCAAGACATGTTTTTTATATTCCTTTTGTTGTGTATAGAGTGCAAGCGGTACCAGTTAACACTGGATGGGGAGCAGAAAGCAATGCCCCTTGCTAAAAGAGCCACTCATGAAAGAGTTTTGTTTCCCTTCACTGGGAGAAAATGCTTCACTGCAAGGGGACAAGAAGGTGAAGAGGAGGGAAGATGGTGTCCACCAGTGGTCCACCCAGCTTCACACATGGTCTGGAGTGAGTCTCTTCCCCTGCAGGACCTGCTTCTCCTACACTGTACCATGATGAGCAACGCTTGTCTACCCTGAAGGATTATTTTGGGATAAGTATTTGTAAAGAGCTGTCAGTGTTCAGAGAGGTTAGATGAAGAGGATGGAACAGAGAGATGAAAAGGAAATCTTAAGAGAAATTGCGTGATCAATGCCTGATGAAGCAGATACGGGACTCCCAGGTGCTGGGAAATCGTTGCAGGCAGAAGAATCCAAGCTAGGCTTTGAAATGAAGCAAACCTGCCCTACTGCACTTGGTGGGGAGCCTGCACACAAACTGTGCTTCGACTTTGCCTTTTGCAGACATAGATTCCAGATTTTATGGAGAGCTGGGGGTAGAGGGGAAGACTGTGCAAAGTGCAGCAAAACCCCTGACATCATTTACTCTGGATAAATATAATGGGATAATACAAGCATTCTAAGGAAGGTGCCTCAGTGGCTTGCCAGAAGGGCAAGCTCCACCAAAATATGGCAGCCTTCATGCCCTTCTTCATCTGTGGAGTGTGTGCACTGCTTTTTGCAGCTGCACTCTATGTGTTAAAAGTTTTCAAGCAATCATCAGCTTTAAATTTGCCTTCTGGTCCATTTCCTCTTCCCATCATTGGCAACCTGCATTTGCTGAACATCGGAAGGCAAGACAAGTCACTGATGAAGGTAAGAACAAGTGTCCTTTGTTTCTAGGCTGTCGAATGTCAGCAAGTACCCATTAAAAGTTCTCTCTGATGAGAGTACTGAGATGATTTTTGGTGCCAAATTGTTGGTTTTTTTTACAATGTGATGTTTCAATGGTTTCAGAACGACCAAGTGTCATTTCAGAAGGACCAAACTCTTGGGGACTGCTAAAACTGTTCAACAGAGTCCTAACTCTGCAGAGAGTGATGATAAATATGAGCAGTGTTTCAGTGAGAACTACTCTACTCATTGAAAACTATGAGTGTCTGCATCAGATCAGACCAATGGACCTAAATTTTGGCATCTTCCTTGTGCTGTGAAATTCCTCAAAATATTTGCGTGTCCACGTAGCCAAATTGAAAGATGGATGCTTAATCGTGATTGCCAAAATAGCTTGTATTTCTTATGTTGCCAGTTTTTCATGAGAATGGGAATTAATGTAGCACAACTCAAAGAAGAGATATCGAACTCATTTGAAACAGTGAATGACTTGGACTTAACGAAGACAAAGTTCTCTATAGGAGTCACAGTTTCCTTGCATCTCTCTTCTAGAAAAAAGGGGAAATTTCAATGTGTTCTGTCTCTCAGAGCCAAAATGCAGCTCAGCCCAGCTGCATTTTCAGTCAGGACATGGGGTGTGAATATCTTGCACCTTACACCAAGCCTTTTAGCATCAGGTTGCCAGCAGCCCTCAGACCTGCTTGGCATAATGTAGGGAAGAGGAGCTGGCTTTCCCTGTCTCATTCCCTTTGCTGTGCTATGTGAGGAGCCTCCAAGATGCCTATGGAGATGTGTCTTCATCTTACACCAAGCAGCTCACAGTGGGCTCAATGCCCAGAACTTAGGAGCTGGGAAGTGCTTTGGACTGTGGTTTCTGTTTCTGACAAGACCAGAAATCCTTCTGCAGAGGAAGGCAGGGGAGAAGGAGTTTCGGCATTGTGCATGGGCATAGTGGGAAGGATAAGCAAAGCAGAGGCTGGAAAGGAGGTGACTTGAAGACCCAGGAGCAGGTGATAGCATCTTAGTGAACACAGGTATTGGGCACATTGGCCACGCTGATGCCTTCTTTTCCCCATGGAACTATAACACCAAGAAGCCAGCTGGGAAAGGGGTCTGCTGCTGAAACCAGCCAGGGAAGGGGTCTGTGGCTGCAGCCCAGAGGAGCCTCTCACCATCCTCTGCCCTTCGCAGTCAGGACAGAGCAGATACAGCCTGCAGCTGCAGCACCATAGCTGCAGCTATGGGTGAGGAGAGATTTTACACTGGGGCTTGTGAGAACTGCAGTAGTGAACTGAAAGCTTACTTAAAAGTCAGAATTTTAAGGTATTACTTAGCAAATAAATGACCTGGAGTAGACAATCCTCCTTGAAAGGAGAATCCCTAAAGGATTCCCCCCTGAAATTTTCACATTAGATGAATCAGCAACCAGCCATGGTTTTGACCAAATGTTTGAAATCAGTGTCCTGTGAGTTACTTTTTTTTTGCAGAAGCTCAACAATTCTGGCTATATTGCTGAAACATTGATCAGACTCTGCCTGGGGCTACCTGCTTGCTTTGGTAGAGCAGGAGGTGTTGCAAAGCTGTGGAACCTTCTCTAGTCACCTTTGCCAGAGCTGGTCCCTTTTATGGGACATTAGGCTTCGTCTCACAATAGCTTTATCAAGTTTCAACTGCATTGCTCTCAGTCAAGTCTTAATTCCTCCTAGGGCCTGGCAGGACCATGTTTGTGAGCCTCCAGAGAACTGCTGCTACCCAGTAGCTCAGATTTCGTTATAAAGTCCTGCTGTGCTTGAAATCTATGGTGCAGCAGAAATAAAAAGCAGAGTGTGGTATTGTGGTTATTTTCTAAGGCAAGTTGAAAGAGCAATGGTTTCTTATGCCTTCATACGTCCATCCTTGGTGAATCATATAGACCTGTTTGCATTAATTGCAGCAAAGCTTTCATTTCACTTTTATAAGAAATATGGACACCTCTGCTTTTTCATTCTCTTATGGTGGACAGTAGCTTTACAGCCTCCTCAGTCAGCAGTTGCTCTGTATCTGTCTGCCAAATCTTGATGATGCTTTTACGCTGCTGGTGGTGATCAAAATGTCTTTTTATCTTCTGCCTCTTTTAACCTCCTGCACCAAACTGAGCCCAACCAGCTCAGAAAACCAGTGGTTTTATGGGAGCTTCTGAGTTAAGCAGACCACCATTTATCTGCTTTGATTCCTTTTTTATTTAAGTGTCTTGGGGCTTTATCACTGGCATCCCTCCAATCCTTCTGGCCACAGAAGGAGGAGGGAAGGCAACTCTTCATCTACCCAGGCAGGACGCACCACTGCCACTGATGACTCTATGCTCTGATTTTCCTCTCTTTCTAGATTTCAGAGAAATATGGCCCCGTTTTCACCATCCACTTGGGGTTTCAGAAGGTGGTGATGCCAACTGGCTACAGGACAGTAAAGGATGCTCTTCTGAACACAAGGGATGTGCTTGCAGACAGACCACCTTTACCCATATTCTATCACATCCAACATAGAAACAGTACTGGCAGGTTGAAAAGATAAGGATGTGCTTGCTTTGCTGTTTCTCAAAGGTGTTGTTTCACTGCAGCAGTATTAAAGAATCATGAGCTGCATCCTTATCATTGAGGGCTACATTTTGTGGAGCTTGGGGGCAGTTGTTTGTTTTATTAAAGAAAATGGGATCTTCTTATTTGCCTTATCAGGTTTTTGCTTTTAGAGGCACTTGGGACACATTTCAAGAAGGTTTTGGGTTTTTTTTTTGTAGTGCAGAGGGAAGGAAATTATTTTTCACAATGTGAAGGCTGAGGTCCTTATGCAATCTCTTTTCTACAGTTACTGGAGTTCAGACAAAGCGTGGATCACGCATGACTCATGATAAAGACTGCAAGAACTGGCAGGAGCGTAATAGCACGGGCTGTTTGTACCTCAGACAATTACTTCTGTAAACAGATTTTTGGCGTGTTTCTGAATAGCATGTTAAAAAGTAGTACGTTGCCCAAGACTAGACATTGAAAAACAATGAAGGGAATAATCCTGGGCTGAAAGGAAAAGACGTGATGACCTAATATGTATATAATGCATACAGCGTGTGGGGCTTTTTTTCATCTTGTCTTTAAGAGTGAGGCCCAGCGTGAGGAAGGGAACACTGCGCTACTTTCCCAAGCACAGGATGAAGATGTAAAATATATTCAGTCCTGGAAGCCCTGCTGGGAAGGGAGGACTTCAAATTGTAGCCAAACACCTCGGTGCCCTCTTGGCTGAGCACTTTTTTTGGCCAATGGGTTAGCCAGCTTGAGGGTATTCCCTATCTGTAAGCAAAGGTGCCTCCCTGTCATCCCTCCTCGTCCCCCTGCACAGTACATAGTTTATCTTCTAAACCGCAAGTCCTGTTCATGATGGGGATGGAGTGATGTCATCTGCTCTTAGCCTTGCTCTCTGAAACAGCTGGATCCTTTTTCTAAGGCAAACCAAGTCGGCCTGAGACAAATACCATGCATCGAGCTTTTTACTGTGTATGGCTGCAAAGAGACAAAGCTATAAGCAAGGCAAACCCAGGGCTTTGCTGTGAACAGCACCCAACTTCAACGTATTGCTTCCTACCCTCCTGAACCTACCTGGGGTAGTGATTGCCCAAGCCAGCCCTCTAGCACCCCACAGTCATCTCCCAAGCAGGCTCCTCCAGGTTGCAAAATACCTGTGCTCCCCAGCTGTGCTTTTGTTGTTTTGGAGCAAATCCTGAACCACCTCAGCAAACAGGGCATGTGCTCCTTCCATAGGTGTGTTCTTTGCTTCTTGAGCTCTGGAAGAAAACATGACGGTTCACCATAGCTGCCATGAGGGATCTTGGCACAGGGAAGCATCTTGGTGAAGAAAGGATGCTTGAGGAGCTTCGTTTTCTCATTGAGTTGATCAAATCCTTCGAAGGTGAGCTGGGGTATCAGGTGTTTCATGCTACTTTACAAAGACACCGTGAAGACCTCTGTGTTGCTCCAGAAATGACAAGTGCAGTTATGTTGTTCATTTCTAGATAGACCTTTCCAATTGTGGTTTTTGAATATGGCTCCCAGCAACATCACCTTTGCTATTCTCTTTGGGAGAAGGTTTGATTATAGAGACCTAACATTTCTTACCCTGTTAAGACTCATAGATGAAGTTATGCACCTTCTTGGCTCTCCATCCTTGTGTGCAAGTTACCCTCTATGCTGAGATGCTCCAGTATCTCACCTGATTTGGTAGGTCAACTCAATGTACTTCTGCTGGATGCGTGATGCTGGGGTATCTTTAGGTTACTGAAATATAAGATTCATAGAAGCATAGGGTGGTTTGGGCTGGAAGGGGCCTTGAAAGATATCTAATCCAACCTCCCTGCCATGGATAGGGACAAGATTCTTTCTTTGGGGGTTTCCTCCTCCATGAAATCGTCCTGTGAAGGAGGCCCAACATCATGTGGTGGCACTGGGCTGAGATGCTGATGTGACTGTGCCAGCAGAAGGAATGTGTTTGATTCTTCTACAGCCAGAAAGTGCAATAACTGAGGTTTCCAGCATGGTGGGACTTGGCATGGGCAGAGTCCAGGAGCATCAGTAGAAATCCTCAGAAGTGCTATAGACACCTCCCTTTATGTTATTCTTAGTCACTTTATTTAGCAAACTTCATGGTTTATGGCAAACTGTAGCCTCCCATGAGGAAATAGACCCTAATGTAGATCTGGGATCTGGGTAAGCTATCTTCAGTGTTTCACAGTAAACGAAAACGTTCCTGGAGTGTGTCTCAGAGATGTTTTTAGCACTTTTGGCAGAGTTCACAAAGATTCTGCTTTCCTGGGGTTTTGATGTTTTCTTGGTTTTGGTAGTATTTTTCCAGCAGTACCCAGAATGAAACAATGCAGCATATTCTATTCCCTAGTATTTTCAGGCCAAACAAGGCTCTGATGGAAGAGACAGGAGGGAATCAGGTCCCTCTTGGAAGGCATGGCCAGAGTTTCTTTCTTTAAAAAGACACCAGTGATGAAAGTATTGAAATACTGGCTTTATTTGTGGATGCACAAATTAAATCAGCCAGGCTTATTCCAGTTATTTTCTGCTGGATGCTGTGGGAATGTTCATACACAAGTAACCTCTTCTCTTAGGACAATTACACGTGTATTTGGGGGTTACTTGGTTTTGGTCACTTGTTACAGTTTAAGAAACTAGTGAAGTTACAGAGTTGTAGTACAAAGTACATAGCCGCAGACATTTATATATGGACCTCTCGTACCTCTTGTTGTGGCATTAAATCAATACCTGCTCAATGGAGCCACATAAAAGGAGTATTTTGACTAAGAGGCTTTCATCTGAACCAAGAGCTCTTGTTAAATTTAATCCTTCATCACAGGGCATAGAGTATTAGTTACTTAAGGTAATAGTGAAACACTCATCCACAAAGCTGTTAACAAAAAGGTGTGGATGAATTCCTTACCTGAATGAGAGCTACTTACAATAGCTACAGTTTACAATAGCACAACATCCCTTCTCTTTTAATCTCTACAGCAGGTTTGGTTTGTGCAGAAATTACCACCTGTTAGAAAGTGCAGGAGATGTGGTGAATCTTATCCTGCAGCCAGTTTACTTGTAACATTGAGAAATGGTGTAAGTAACCCCCCTGCACATAAAACACAACTGCTTATTGTGCTGCGAAATTTAACGATGCTGAGAACTAAGTGTAATTGATTTATAATTCATGGGAAAGTTAAAAAATATGATCTAACAACTTTAAAACAGAAGTATTTTGGCTTGCTAAACATGGAGAGTTTTCTTCGTGTAATGCAAGTGCTTTATCTTTTTGGTTTATTACCTCTTTAAAAATGTAATTTCATTGTTTCATGAGTTCACTATCACTTCCCCTTAATTGTATTTTTTTTTCCTAATTCGTGTTTATAGGCTCTGTCTAGACAAGCCTGATGGGCTCCATTCATTTCTGTGGAGAACTTTTAATAAGAGGAGGCATTTTTATACATTTAAATTTTGTAGTAACCAAAAAAAGAGAGACCCCAGCCGCATCGCATAAATGATTTCTCCGTTATGGTACTTGAGTTTTACAAGGTGAGTTTTTTCCTTTGTAGTTATTTAATTCCTACCCATTCCTTGGATTTCTCCTCAAACCTCACAAGGTGATACTGAAAAAAGTAGAAGTGTGTGTGACCTTAAAGAAGTGCAGCAAGGAAAGCAAAGAAAGCGTTAGTGAGAACAACCTGAAGAGCTACACTGATGCGCTGGTATTCAAACAAGAGGTATTTTAACAATATGACAATTCCTAGTGCTGTATCTTATACAGAGAAACTCTTTGTTTCTTGTCTAATGAACATACTCTTCAATGGTCTATATGAAAATTTTGGGTAACCATCCTTCTATTTGAATATGTTAAATTCTGCGTATTGAATGAAAACCAAGAAATAATTAACTATTCCTTATCACATGAATGTCTAAAACTTGTCCTCAGGTGTCAGCTACAGTCCCTTCCTTGCTAGAGAGAGAAGTAATATCATTTTCCCAGTGCACTCCAGGCAGACACACATCACTCCCTACAGGTATGAGAAGAGGCAACAGATTGCCACTTGCAGAGATGCAGAAGTTCTTACTGCATTTGTACAAATACATCACCAGCTCCCACATAGTGGATTTACCACCAGGAATGCTAGTACGGGAGTATGGCAAGGAAGGGTCAATCTGTATCTGCCCTTTTCCTCCCAGTGTTTGTATCTGTGTACTTCAGACGGGCGGTGGGCAGGATGGGTGCTTGGGCCTGATGCCGTGTGCAAGTGCCTCAGCTGTTGCACACAAGAACGGGCAAAGTGTTTTCCATCAGCAGCACAAAGCAGAAACAGCAGAGTTGACGTGACAGAGGTGTCCTGGGCCTTCATGGCTTTCCTGTCGCTCCTAGGAGGGAGCCACACACATAGGCAAATTCCAGCTCACTGACATGGGAAAGCATAGTCCTGCACCTCTCATCAGTTTCTGCCTTCTCAGGATCCTTCCAGTGTCTGAAGGGGGCCTATAGGGATGCTGGGGAGGGACTCTTCATTAGAGACTGTAGTGATAGGACAAGGGGTAACGGGTTAAAACTGAAACAGGGCAAGTTTAGATGGATATAAGGAAGAAGTTCTTTACTGTTAGGGTGGTGAGGCACTGGAATGGGTTGCCCAGGGAAGTTGTGAATGCTCCATCCCTGGCAGTGTTCAAGGCCAGGTTGGACAGAGCCTTGGGTGATGTGATTTAGCATGAGGTGTCCCTGCCCGTGGCAGAGAGGTTGGAACTTGATGATCTAAAGGTCCTTTCCACCCCTAACTATTCTACGAGTCTATGATTCTATGATCCACGAGCAGGGGCTGGAAGTCCTCAGTCAATAAGAGAACCACTGCCCATAGCAGATAAATGTCATGTGATCTTCAAAACTCAGTGAATTTGTCCAAATTGTTCATTTTGGGGAGGCAAAATCTCAAGTGTGCAGATATTTCTGCTGAAAACTGAAGCATTTCTGTACTGAAATGTCAATGCGGTGCATCATGGCACATGCATCCCACTGTAATGTCTCTGAAGACTAGGTTACCCCTCCTAGTTCTCTGTTCCCATGCTAATAGGAGTTGGTTTTTTCTTTGTACTTCCCTAAAGGAGCTGAATAAAAGCAATACACTTTTCCATGATGATGATTATTGGCTGCTGCACTTGACCTGCTCGTGGCTGGCACCGAGACGACATCCACTGCACTGCAATGGGCCATCCTGCTGCTGTTGAAGTACCCCGAAATTCAAAGTAAGATATCTTTATGGTTTTGTTTTTCTTACACAGTGTACTGAAGTGCTCTGCAGTGACTTCGTAAGTGATGTTCACCTCTAAAAGCTCTTTAGCTTCTCATGTGTGCCAGAGCATGCAAAATCTGAGCATCTGGAACCTGTCCACTTCCATCCAAACCTTGTATGCTACCGCTGAGGACCAAAGGATTTGAGGGGTTGTTCTCCATCTGCTCCCAGGGGCAGCAAACCTCCTGCCCTGAGGTAGCCCAGCCAACGGTCAGCATGCACAAGATTTGCAGGTGCTTTACCACTGAGGGAAACACACTTTATGCCTTTTCTTTGCCTTAGAGAAAAGATGCATGCAGAGATTGAGCAAGTTCTTGGTCCTGGTTGCTTGCCTACCTTTGAGGACTGGAAAAAAATGCCACTTACCAATGCAATGATCCACGGGGTGCAGAGATTTGTTGCCCTCCTGCCACGTGTTACACGGTGCACCTCGGTTAGCACCCTCTTTAAAGGTTATTTCATTCCCAAGGTACTTGCTGCTCCTCAGTTGAAGAGGGGAGTGCAGCACACCAGTGACCCACAGGGAAATTGTCACGAGGAGTAGGGGAGCTTGAAGCACAAGGCTTTTGGTGGGGAAGAACCAGTTCCCTAACCTCTGTCTCCTCTGAGTCCAGCCTAATGGCAGTGTGACTTCAGGGTTATGTACACAACTTCCCATTTCACATAACTCAGTCTTCATAACCTGGAGTCTGTTCCCTATTCTGTTCACTTTCCATCGCCGCTTGTGCCCTGTAGAGCAGTGCTGCCTCTGGGGTACCATGGCATCATCTCATCACCTTGCTTCAAGCAAGCAGAGATCAGCTGGGCAGCAAGGAAGCCTGGCCCGTGTCTTTCTTCTGCTTCATAACTCAGACACAGCCAACAACTATTGTTTAATCACATATTAGTCAGTAATTCCAGTGAACACTAACTAAGGGTCATGTACAAGCCCAGAAATTAGTTCTTCAGAGGTAGAAGTTTGCTTTCAGACACAGCCCAAAGGGAGGAATGATTACATGGCTGAATGGGCAAGGCAGACTCTTGCTGCAACCCCACATGCTAAAGCAAAGCATGGCTGTGCTGCAGGGAACAACAGTGGTTCCTCTGCTCACCTCTGTGCTGCTGGATAAAACGCAGTGGGAGATGCCTTGATGAATTCAACCCCAACCACTTTCTTGGTGTGGATGGGAACTTCATCAAGAAGAAAGCATTCCTGCCTTTCTCCACAGGTAATGAAAGTGTTTGATCCTGCACAGGGCCCCACATTCCCAGTGCCCCTCAGAAGAGACTAGCCTAGTGGCAGGATCTGAGCCTCTATTGGGAACAGCATGGGTATTGGTGGTGGGGATGGTTTAGAAATACCTGCCCTAGGTTTTGATGACTTGCAAACAGCCCTTCAGCCCATGCTGGAAAGCATGCTGGGGCCTACAAAAAGTTCAGCACCTACAAACGAGTTCAACCTTCCCCCTGCCTTGGGAAGGCTGGTTTCTAGGGTGTCCCAGATCAATTCCTTCTGGGCACAGAGTGAAACAACCCTTTTCAAATGCCTGTAGGAGACCAACAATGATGGCTGCTGAATATCATGCCATGCTCTTTTGCATTTCTGAGGCATGTGCTGTCCTTCACACTATCAAGTAGCAGGGAAGAGATGTTGGGTTGAGCCACCACTTACCCAATCACTCCACCAACAGCCATGCTTTGACATTGCAGGGCAGAGAAACTGCATTGGAGAAAGTCTTGCCACGATGGAGCTCTTCATCTTCTTCACAGGCTTGATACAGAAGTTGAGTTTTAAGCCTCTACCTGGGGTCAAAGAATCTGAGCTGGACACAACTGCAGAGGCTGGGTTCACCGTGAGACCCCAGCCACAGTGTGTCTGTGCTGTGCTATGCCAATAAAGCCAAGGCTCTGAACTGAGAAAGATCCATGTAATAGTTTTCTGCAGAGCCTAGCAGATGCACTAAAGAGAAATCAGATCCCTGTGCAGTAGCTACAAGTAGAGTCTTCTTACCCAAAGCCTTGCAAGTAATGGCTACATGCCATTGAACAAATACTTGGTCAGGACCCAGGTCGCCTTTCCTACCAGGATGGTTAGTGGGTGAGGTGACCTGGAAAATGCCAGCCAGACATGACTGGAAATAGCAGGACAGTCAGTACTTTACACATCAAAAGTAGAGTGTAAGAAAGTTACCCTTGTTCTGAGCCTCTAGGAGAGGATGTTTCTCAAGAGTGGGTAATTACTTCACTTGGAGAGCAGTAGCAGATAAAAGGTTGTGTCATCATCTAATCCCTGCTCTTTTCCCATTCTCTGCTGCACATGGGATAAATTAATCCCAGATACCTACACTTCTATGTGTGATGGATGTTCTTCTAACACTTTACAAATTTCTGATTTTGAATCCCAGATGTCAGAACCTGGATTTCTTAGGTTCCCCTTGCTCTGAGGGACCTCAGCAAGGTTCATTGGGAGTCTTTGGCTCTTTCTGGGTACAGGCTCTGCTATGCCTGCGCTGATATAGGGCTTAACAGCTCTCCCCAGACAGTGAAGACACTCCCCAGCATTTTTGCAAAGGTAGCTCAGATACACAGACACAACCTCTTTTCAGAGCACGATGTGTGAACAAGAAAGCATGCAAACACTGTAGAGATGTGTTTCTAAATGTCTAAGATGCTCTTCCTCAAGCAGCACAGAAGCTGGGCAGATCCAGGCAAAGCAACAGAAAATCTGCCCATCTCCCCTTTCCTTACATCTCCCAGCTTTCTGTGAGACTTCTCAGGACCCTCCCTTTTCCTGACATTCCCTATCTTCTTCTCCTCTGAAATGACTGCAGATGGAGCCTCATCACATCTGCTCATCAGGGAAGACAACAGGACTCTTGAGGCAGCTGGCTTCTTCCTTGGTCTGAAATGCTGAGTGGAGGCCAGAAGGATCTGATAGGCTTGCAATGGGAGGTGGGTTAAGCCATTGTCCCCATTGTGTTTGAGATGGTTAGTCCCTCAGAGGGATCCGTGTCTGCTCTAGGATGAGAAGACGACTTCTCCTGTGCCCTGTGTACCACTTGATTCTTCCAGGTTAATAGTAAATAAATGCGTTTGCTCCCAGACTTGCTCACAGGTGAATGCAGTTGGACTGGGTTCCATAAAGCCTCAAGGCTTGGATCTGCCCTCCCTACCCAGCCTGAATCTGGGGCTGGCAGGGTGTTTTACCCCAGTAAGAACTGCAGGGCTGGGCTGTCTGTGACTCAGAGGGATCATGTTGCCATCTCGTGGCAAAAATAAAATAGAAATGATATTCTGCACAGTGCTTATTTCTCTGGCTCAGTGGGGCTGCAGATACAAAGCAGCCCTTGTTTTACAGATCTATGCAGTTCCTGCAATCCTTGCATCTGACCATCGCCCCTCTGAGAACAGGAGCTCTGGTTCCCAGCATCACACAGAGCTTGGGATGACAGGCTGGGCTGCATGTGGCAGGAGCCACAGACATGGTGTCAGTCGGGTTTGTACAGATCTTACTTTAAGAACCAAGCCACCTGTCCTGCTCCAAGGTGTTTGCCTTCAGTTCGAGTCAATGTGTTGCAAGGCACAAACATGTTTTGCAGCTAAAGGGAAGACCCTCAGGGCCACTGAGGAATGTGGAAATGGTATTTCCACCCTTGAGAGCTGATGTTTTCTGCTAGATAAATATGTAGCCTAGTTATAGTCAGTGTTCTGCCATCATTTGGTTGAACAAAGAAATGGGAGGCAGACCCTTTCTTTTATAGAGATGTATTCAGCTGTCTAACTCAGTATGCTGGGGAAGGAGCACCCAAACACAGGCACAAGTAGGATTCACTTTTCAAAGGAATCAAACCTGTTTTCCTTGGATGTTTGCACCTGGTAGCTCGTGGCTCTGGGGCACGGGTATTGCGCAGTCAGCTGAATCTGTGCATGCAGGCAGTGCTGCTGCAGGCTCTGCTGTGCCTGCTGCAGAGTGCCAGTGCAGAAGGTGATGTCCAAACCCAGCAGGCTCAGAAGGCTGCTATGCCATATACAAAGGGATCCATCTCTTTCCTTCAAAGCCAAGAACCTGTAAACCCATGGCAGGGTGTCAGGTCTGAGGTTCCACTGGTGAATTCATGCAGATTGGAGCCCACTCTAATGTTGTCCTGCAGAGCTCTAGATCATTGCCATAGCTGTGTTTTGAGTTCATATCACTTTTGGAGGGGGCTAGAGCAGGAGCAGTCCTGGCCTTTCTGAAGCAAAAGGCAAAAGTCTCTTATTTCAGCAAAACCAAGACTTCCTTCTCTCCGTTGATATGTGCCTGGCTCCCCAGTTGCCTTACCTGCCTCACCCTGCCTTCCCTGAAGAAGACCTCATCCTGCTACCACAACTCCTCAAGAGTGATGCTGCCAGCAGGTAATACTTCAGGAGCGCAAGAGGTGGGAGGCTCAGGGTCCAAGGCACTAAGCAGAGGGACAGCACCAGCCTCAGTGAAGCTGTGGTGACAACCTTTCATTCAGCCTCTGCAAGCAAGAATTGAAGGCATAGAAGTGAAAAACCAAGGCTAGCCCCAGGACTGACTGGTAGCCCATAGCCAAGTGCAAAGGGAAAGCTCTGCCCTGGAGAAACCACTGTGCAGGAGGGTCTCCTGTTGAGCTGTTTTTTCTGAGGATGAGGGTATGCATCACCTTTCACCCAGGAGATACAAGCAAAATCATAACATTTGTTGTCACTCTGCGCTCAGGATCAGCCTTTCATGGCATTTGTATTTCTGTGTAATGCAAAGTTGGGAGGGAGGCATATGAAATATAATGAAGACATGGGATTCAGATTTTACTGTGTTCCCAGGAAGGGGGAAACAAACAACGTGATGAAGCATGTGATAAGAAAATGCATATGGAGAAGTGGCAAGTCACAGGCAGATAAATGGATGAAAAATTGAGCTATGCATCAGCTGGAATAAGATTGCAGAATATGGTGGCAGATAAGAGTGCTACAGACAGGGACAACCGCCACACAAAGCTAGAGAGGAAAGGAAAACAACCAAAATTGTGTCTCATCTAATCCCTGATCCCAATTCTCCTTGATGAGTGTGTGCAATACAAAACTATTACATTGGGCACCATTTGCGTGGCTGGTTCTAAAGGCCAGACCATCTCAAAGACCAAATTGAAAGATGGTTTTGGCTTTTAACAGTAACCAGGAGGTCTGAAGTGAGGAACAGTGTTTGTGCCTATTTAACAAGGTTAAGAAAGACAGGGATACATGCAACTAGAAATGGGTCTAGTTTATTTGTCTGTATCATTAGCCTTTTATGATCAGTTGCTGGTGCAAATCTCATGTGGCCTTATGGTTTAGACTTCAGGTTTGGAAATGTAGATCTTGTTTCATTCAGACTCTGAAGCAGTGTTGAACTTGATGGGAACAGTGCTTGCTTACCTAAGCAGGTTTGCAGACTCTGGGGTGTCTTTCAGGACATTGTTCCAAGGCAGAAATAACTTTGTCCTCAATTCATGTGAATCGACCTGTTTTTTTCACTCCCAGTGTTTGACTTTGTGGCCAAGCCTGGCAGGGTTTTGCTAGAAGCTATGGATAATTAGGGAACTGGGAAAGTTCAGGATGTAGCCATGGATGGTTCACGTGTGTGACACACAGTGTATTTCTGTGGCTTTCAGCAAAGGACGGTTTGTCTTTCCTCAGGATTTTGGGCAGATCTCTGTGCCACTATGATCCTCACTGCTTCCCCATGGGAGCCTGGGTGTCACACATACTACTCATGGGCTGCATCCCCTTCACCAGACCACTTCCTTGGTCCCTTCTTTGGCTCCATGCACAATCTCTCTTGAGAAGAAATGTGTGTTTGTCAACCACCATCATGGTTTCTAATCAATCATATGCACCTCTTCACGGTATGGGAGCAAAGAGGGGGTCAGCAACCTACGGTGGAGAACAGTGGAGTGGAAGTGGATGGAGACAGCGGGAAGGGGATGTGAAAGAGGGTGGTGTGGCAGCATGGGGGATGGCAAGTCCTAGCATAGCTAAGTTGGGTGTAAGCAGCTTCCCCACTCGTTGGGTTGCTCTTCAGCAAGGCTGTGGTTATTCACGCAGGATAGCACAGGTTGCCTGAGGCTGAGGCCTTAATGTGAAAGTCGTCTGGGGGACGGTAAGGTCCAAGTCAGACTCTGAAACTCCTGGCTGGGGTTGAAAAGTAAATGTCTGAAGCAACCCTACAAAGAAGACGAACAGCTCCATCTTGGCAAGGCTTTCTCCAATGCAGTTCCTTCGCCCTGCAGATGAAAGCGGCATGTTTACTTGATGGAAAGAGCAGACTACAGTGTGTGCCATGCACATGTTAGCATCTGAAATGTTGTGATGGGAGAAGCAGTGACACCTTTAAATGCACCAGAAATATTTTGGAGTAGAGGAACCCAAGCTGCTGAAGCTAGCTGTCCCAGTCACGCTGGCACAGTGTGCCTGCCTGGTCTCTTTTGTCACACAGCCACCTGCAGCAGCAAGTCGCAGCAATATTATAGGGTTTTTATTCATTTATGTTGTACCTTCTCCTCTTCTTAGCTCTTCCAACTCCCTCAGCATCTTTAATCCATTCTCTTTGAAAAGCAGCCTGACAGAAAAATGCCACCTCCTCCCAAAGTGGAATGGCTTGAAACTCACTTTTCCTGTGGAATTTATCCTAACATCCCACTTATAGAAAAGACTGTGTTTCTTCTTTCCTACCCTCTCTCTGTGCTAGGTTCCCAGCCCCTGTGTGGTGGTCCCTGTACTGTTGCAGCTCTTGGTGGACAAGCAAGGACTGGCTTTTTAATGTCCAAAGTCAGTACTGAGGCTCTGGGGTTGGAGCACATTCTGGAATTCCTTCAAGCCATCCTTTCAGAGGAACAGCTGGAAGGTTTGAAGTTGCATGGGAGGATTTGTAGGATTCTGCAGGAAATCTCCCTTTATAGCACTTAGGGCCTCCTGCAGTGTTGGGGTTTGTTAACTCCCAGCAAGACTCTTCCATCCAGCTGTGCCCTTTCATAAAGCACACTGCTGCAGCTATGGAGGGCACTGGCTGGGGGCAGGAATGTCTGGAAATGAGCAGCCTTTGGAAGTGCTTATGGCTGTTAGGAAGGCATGGAGAAAGAGACTTTTCTTCTTCCAGGATGTCTCAAGGGAGGATTTCTGATACCTAACAACTGTTCCTATGATTAGCTCACTTTAAGTCCCAGGGTTTATGAGCCTCCAGAAAGAGAATATTAATTGTATTTTGAAGGCGAAATTGAGATTAAAAAGATCAATAAAAGAAAAAGTTTGTGACTTGACCAAAATGCCAGTGGAGGTAGTGTCAGGGTCACCTCCCCTAACCACAGGGCTGCGCTTCTTCCTCTAAAAGAGCAGGTCTTGCTGGGAATCTTTGGGAGCTCTCAAAAGTGCCACTGGAAGAATCACAGTCCAGGGTGACTTCTGGGAACAATCCAGGGCCTTAGATTTAAGATTTCATAGCGAGAGTAATAAGGGTTGGTGTATTCTGTCCTGTACAGGATCTCTGCTGGCTGTAATACCAAGCCCAGGTGCAAGGCTTACTGGGACTCCCTTCCTTGGCTATGGTGGGCAGTGGATGAGACCTTGTCCATCAGACCCACTCACACATGGGACTTGACTTGAGACAGGATTTAAGGGTCCCTGGATTGTACCCTCCCTCCTAGGAGAGCTCATGGAACCCTTTGCATAGCTGTGCTGGCAGCCCCACCAGTCCTGTCTGATTATCCACCTATTGCTGACAGCTTTGAGGCAGTTTTTGACCTTCTGTTGGATGCAGTTTATCTCTTTCTTCTTTCTAGTTGAGCCCTTGGGAACCAATGCCTTTAGTGGTGAGAGAGGTGTGCTCTGAGAGCAGCTGTTTGCCTGAATGCAGAATAGTTGACTCTGTTCAGTTGCCTGGTTGCTTACTGACCAAGTTAAAGGCAGTTCTTAGCCATGAAGACCCCGTTAGTGTACACAGTAATAAAATGATCCTGCTATAGCCTCAGCTCTGTGCAGATCAGCCTGTTGGTTACCTGTGGAGAAGGGCAGGAAAGCTCCTTTCTTTACAAAATTCCCTTCAGCATCAAGGAAGTGGTTAGGGTTGAACTGATGTGGTGTCTCCCATTGTGTCTTATCCAGCAGCACTGAGGTGAGTGATGGGATTACGATTATACCCTGGAAGAGAAGTACATGAAAGCACCAAAGTTAGCAGAAATGCTTTGGTTTGGTTCATTTTGCAGCAGAGACTTCAGTGTTCCAGGACATTTGCTCCACCAGGGGTAGGTGGAGAACTCTTGAGTGGTTTACCCCATCAGTCAGTAGAGAGAGAATTCACTGAGATTTTCCCAGCAGTGTCAAGGACTGAAGCCAAATGCCACGTGGTGCTGTGAAAACCTCAAGGAAAGGGTCAGATCCTGTAAATTACTTCCCTTGCAAGTAATTCACTGTGCAGATGGCATCAAGGAGGTAAACCAGGGTCACTTGTAGAGTGAGGAAGTGAGAGTGACAGAATCGAGTCCTACAATACCAGTCTCTCTGGATTCCGTGTAGTTGAACGGACTCAACTATGAAGCAATAGCCCTACAGTACCAGTGTCATAGACTCAATATAGAAACTCTTCTGGGGATGATTCTGGACACCTGTTTTGGGCTTCTGTCCTGTTATTCCCTCTAAAGATATTGGTCTGTAGTGGCAGTGGCAAAAATGAGGAGGGTGATGTGTTCCTGGGATGGAGCAGTTACCTACCTTGGGAAGGAAGTAGCCCCTAAAGTGGGTGTCAACAGCAGTACAGCGAGGAACGTGGGGCAGGAGAGTGATAAACCTCTGCACTTCATGTAGCACCGCATTTGTAAATGGCATGTTCTTCCGATCCTCATACGTGGCCCAGCTTCCAGCTTTGACAGTTCTCCCAATTTCCTCCTGCACCTTTTCTGGAAGGATCAAGCAAAATGTATGTCCCTGCAAGGAAATGAACTCCCTCCTTGGATCTGGTTTGGGGAAAAACATATTTTTCTAGGGTCTGGAGGGAGAGGGTTCCTTAAAACATCAGCTTGGGTTTGCCCCCTCTATTTCTAGTTCAGGCATGTGGATGGGCTGGTTCCCCGGCATCATACTTTACTCTCCATCCATCCTCTTTCCTAGCAAGGCAAACGGACTATTTTGTTGTGACTTTGATCAACATCTAATTATATCAGGAATTCATAACAATTAAGAGATGAGATTCAGCTCTTAAGGCGAAAGAGCTTTTGTGGATCTGAGACCTCTCCCCTCCTCATATCAGCCATGCCGCAGATAAAGTGGAGGTAAAAGGAGCTCACTTTGAATCTCTGGGTATTTCATCATCAGCAGAATGGCCCACTGGAGCGTTGTGGCTATGGTCTCTGTTCCTGCCATGACCAGGTCGAGTATGGATGCCATTAAGTTGTCATCATGGAAGAGGCTGTCTTTCTTGTTTTTCTCCTTGAAAAACACAAGTGGTAAGAATGGTCTTAAAGCCATCATCAGTCTTAGCTTGGGAAATTCTGCATAGCCTACGACAGTGTTAACTATGATCTTGTGTTTGTGAACTAGGTGATAAAATGGACCTGATCTTGAATGCAAATCATTCACCAAAGATGGAAAGTTTGCAGTGGAGTTTTGGTTCAGCATCCATCTCCACCCAGAAGCAGGCTGAAGCCCAGGACCAGATGCTGTTCATGTACTCAGCCTCGCAGGTTTGGAAAAAGCCCTGTCCATCTATCCCCTTTGCAGAAGGAGATTCAGCTAGTCCTAACTCTTAAGGACTCCTCCTGCCCAAAGGCAGGTTCAAACCCCTAACAATGTTTAAAATGACCTTCAGGCCATTTAGGACTATACTGACCCTTCCTCCACATAGCTGGGTGGAACACTTAGTGCCTAAGGTTGGCCTAGAGCCATTTTGAAAGAAGGTAAAACTCAGAGCCCAAATTTTTTGTGTTGAAAGAAATCAACTGATGTGTGAAACTGCCAAGTCTCTACTAAGGTTAGATGCAGGGCAGGACTAGGACCTGTACTGATGATTTATCGTTCATACTTAGTCTGTAGTTTGTCTTGGAGCAACAGTATCAATGATTAATTGATTTGTTGTCTTAAAAAGAAAGGCAGAGTCAGCTTTCATGTGACTTCATGCATTTTCTACTAGGAAAAAGGAGTTGATCTCATATTATTTTTGCTGCTATTTCAAGAGTGGACTGAGACAGTGGCTTTCATATGGTAATTTTGATAGAAAAATCCCTACAGTAAATTCCACCAACTGTAAGAGACTGACGCTTGATTTCAGTGCCACTAGAATAACGGCATGGATTTCAAGAAGTTTACATGACATGGCTGAAATCAAGACTCAGCAACTGTTTTAACCAGAAAATCCAAAGGAGACATTACAGTCAACAGAGTTAAGCAAATACCTCTTGTTGCTTGAATATCAGCGCATCAATGTAGCTCCTCACACTGTTCTCATTGATATCCTCTCTGCTCGCCTTCATGTATTGCCTTAAAATGGCACGCACGTCTTCTATTTTCCCAAGCATGATCTTGTGGGTTTTGAAAAGAAATCCCAGGAATGGGTAGAAATTGAAATACTAATGAGGAATTAAGAAAGAGAAGCAGTAAGTCTGTAGAAATATCAGCATGCTGAAACAGCTTCTTCCTAAGGCATGACGTATCAGTTGAGTTTTGTCATGTAGCAGTATCTTAGCATCCCAGGGACTTCCCAGGCAGATTTTCATAGGGGAAGGCTTTCCTTATTGAGCTTTGAGCCTTTATTTAGTACTACTTAATTTTAAGCATTTATGCTGTTGCTGGTACCAGGTTAAGCTGTACCAGGTCAGCCTCTCAACAGAGCTGGGACTTCAGTGTGCGTGGCCACCAGCAGTTTCAACCACTATGAGATTAGTTAGTTTTTTCCAGCGTCGGTTATGAAGGACTGGGTATGATAGTTTGAAGGTAAGCAAAGTTTTCCTGGCACTCTCCAAGGAAGCATATTCATGCAGTCTGTGAAATGTCACTCATGTAGACATCAACACTGAATGTGTCTTTATAGAAAAGACACATAGAAAACACAGCACAGGCAAAGCCTAGGTGATGCAATTATGTTGAAAAGGCAATGGCTAAAATAATCATACTTCAGTTCTTATTTTAGCTCTGCACAGATGTGCAGGATGGTTCAAAAGCAGAGCAGCAAAGGGTAATCTGGCAACACGTTTGTGGTGACCAGGGTGGTATCTGGAGGACTGTCACATTTTGGGTGTAATGGTGCTAAGCACTTGAGAACTGCTGAACCAAATGCTATGGTTTGTGTTGCTCACAAATGTAATGTGTCTGCGTAAAAGAATGTTATTCCGTGGGACAGGTTGCTTACGTTCAAATATGGAGATCCCAGAAGAATCATAACTTCATCTATGAGTCTTAGGAGAGTGATAAATGTTGGGTCCTTATATTCAAACCTCTCACCGAACAGCATGACAAAGGTGACGTTGATTGGAGCACAGTTGAAGGACGTCAAGCTAAAAGGTTCCCCTACAGTGGGAGGAGAATGCAGATATTAGTGAGATGTTGCAGCAGCAGTGACATGTATGAGGCTGTACAGCACTGGGATGGTCTGCAGCTCACCTTGGAAGGATTTGATCATCTCAATCAGGAAGTGAAGCTCCTCAAAAATTCTCCCTTCTATCGTTTTCTTCCCCATGCCGAGGTTGCGCATGCTGGATACCGTGAATCTCCGAGTTGTTCTCCACAGCTCCCCAATAGAGAAGAACAAACCTGGGGGGGCCATGAGACATTGCACTCGGCTCACACACAGAGGAGCCCCACCAAACAAAGCAGGGGACAGGATGAGGAGGGATCTCCACAAGTATTTCTGCTGCCCAGTTTCCCATGGATTTAGGGTCTCCCATTTCTGTGTGCCCCATCCCTGTATGCTCTCACCTCCATTCTCTCAGTCTCACTGAGCCTGTAGTTTGGGAAAAACAGGCTCCCACCCAAACCAGTTTGCCACAGCCCTCTCCTTGTGTGCAAGATAAGCAGGTATGGCTTTCAAACCAGTACGGTTTGGCTGTAGAGCTGGGGAGAGATGTAGGTCTCAGTCAGTCCTGCAACATTTCTGACCTCGTTTGGCTGCAAGTCTCAGGCCTCAAGCAACAACCTTATATCTTTGAAGCTTACCCTTTGTCCTATTCCAGTTACAAAGCTATTTTATCAACGTGGAATGGGATAATTCAATCTCCACAACCCTCAGTGCTGAGCTCTTCTATTGAGATTCCCAGTAGCATTGTGTTTTCAGCAATGACACTATTACTATCATTTTGTGGAGGTTTCTGAGTTCATGCCTTGATGATCTCTAACACCACAAAGCAGGGATGGGTATTTCATCCCAGCAGGGTGTTGGAAATAGTATAAGAAAAACTTAGGTTAATATAATCCAAACACTATCTCAGATTGTGCCAATCAAAAAGCTGGATTCCAGCACTTCACATCTTCATGTTGGCTGCAAGGTTTTTAAATGTGTTTGCTTTCTGCAGAATAAACACCGTTTTCAAGCAGTGTAGTTTCCATTTGGAAAGCAAAACTTCTTGCTCTAAAAATGCCAAAGCAAATTTGATTTTAAATTCTTCTTTAATTGATGCAATTTCATCTGGATCATTCCTTTTCTGCAGCTTCAGAGTCAACAAATGGGCATGGTGAGATGTTCCCTGGGAAAGTTTATGACCACTGTTACTTCACCTCTGTGAGTTTCCACCTCTAAGCGGCTCGGTCCTGGGCTGAGAAGGTAAGTGTGAAAGGACTTACAGTGCAATACTGCCAGTCTGCCCCAAGGATATTTTACATGTAAATCAGCTCTGAAAAATGCTTTTCTCCCCATCGATTCCTTTTCTTTATGTAGCGATAAATTAATCTGTTGACATTATGGCTGGGTAATTTAATTTCTAGCTGTAATCCCAACTTCAGCCTGTAACCAGCATATAAAGCTGCCAGGTAGATGCTCAAAGTTAGAGCCACAGCTGAAGCAGAGGATGGAAAATCAAGGCAAAAAGTCCTCTGCAATACTCAGGGATGGGGAGTTGCCTTGGAAAAACTATGGGGTTGTTTGTGGGGGTGAATTTCCAGCCTCAGCCAGTTGCTTCTGCCTGAATTTGCTTCATGTTGATCCACAAGAGCTTTTGTGGAGAGGCAAGATGCCGGGGACTGATGATGTCCCAGATTGTGGCATCTGGCAGTGGGAGAAAGGGAGAAGCGCTACAGCTCCAAACAGCCAAACCAGTTAGTCTGAAGTCCCCTGAAACCATGGGGAAGGTTTGTAAATTCCGCTCTCATTGACATCCAATGGAAATTAACCCCAAAATTACCAGTGCCTTTAAAAATCCCACTCCTCCCCCTCAAATGGTTAGGGCATGGATTAGCAAAAATGCTGAAAAGCAAGGAAGCAGTGCATGGAAGTGAGGAAAGCCAAATGTTTTCATTCTGCTTGGCTTCAGAAGGGCCCAGGGGGGATGTTAGAAAGCCGGGCTCCTGGGATGCACAGTTATGCTGGCACTAAGCAACACCTCCCGCCCACCCTCACTCATTGCTCTAGTACCGTTTCCGTTCTGAATTTGGTCAAATATTGGGATGGATGGTCTGTCTACAAACTCCTCTGTGTAGTTCACAAGCGCCTCCCGCACAACTTCGTACCCGGTCAGGACCACAACTTTCTGGAACCCAAAGTGGAGGGTGTAGATGGGGCCGTATTTTTCTGCAAGCTGAAAAAGAGGAAGGGAAGGAGCGTGCATGGGGGCAAGCACCTGTTCCTTTCTGATATTACATCAGAATTGCATCTGCATTCTGATATTACATCAGTTGCTGCTTTTCTGACATTACATCCTGGCATCCAGCTGGGAATGGCGGTGGAGCCGCCACCTGCAGAGTGGTGCCTGTGAGCTAAAGCTTATCACAGTCAAACCCAATGCATTTTGTATGGATACCTGGCCAGCATCCATGTAGATATTTAGTATTCTTGCCATCAAAGAACCCCCACCCCCATCAGTGCATTATTAATCTGGGTTTGCTCTTAAAGAGAAACTAATGAAAACCAAAAAAACAACCCAAACAAAACACCTAGAGTTAAAACTGGACCTCAAATGGCAACACAAATTGGCAAACCAGAGAAGACATTTTGGTGCAAATAATGATGCTGTTGCCCAGAAAAGCTTTGATATAATGCTCCTTTTGTACTAAAGCATTTCTGCATCCCTGCTATTAGACCAGAGGAACCGTTTGCTGCATGCTGGGTGTTCAGTTTGCCCTGGCTGACCGCAGATTCCAGATCCATGCCCCTCTGCTCGGACATGGCTGTGGTACCTACAGCTCAGCTGAGTGTAACAGGGAAACCCACAGCAGGAGCACCTAGCAGGTGATGAAAAGAAGCAGGAGGCTGCCCGAACTGCTGGCTTTCCCCGTGCCTGTACACAAAGTGATGCTCGTTTCGCACTGAGAAGGCTCTGGGTGTATTTTTGCCATATCACAGGAAGATTCTTTCACTGTGCCTTGCTGGCTGGTTTACAAAGGCAATGCAATGCCTCAGGGAGCTGACACCTCCCCCCCGCCCCTAGGAGCACACAGTCCCACTGGCATGTCCTACATGTGCCCCTGGAACTGCTGTGCTATGCTCTGGTCCCCACTCCTTTTAGCCCAGGAAAGGGGTCTGCAGCAGAGCAATACAGTCTGATGGGGAATCCATGCTTCACAAGGACTGATGTGTGTGCCTGATTCCTGGCAGCTTGGTAACAGCATTCAGGGACAGCTGAGAAGAGGCTGGGCTGGGCTGGAGCAAGGTGATGGGAAGCCACAGTCCAAATCTGCTGTCTAAGCAAACACACGGTGTATACGTGCAGCCTCAGCCTGTGTCGGTTCCTCTGGCAGCTTCCTCAGGGATGAGGGGAGCACCCCATCAGGATGCAAGCATCAACAAACCCTGGTGCCTGCCGCTTTATGCCATCACCATTTTTTGCTCTCTGTGGGGTGAGATGGAGGGATAACCCCTTTGGAGTAATCCCAAAGTAAATGCAAACATAGGCAATACCAAACAGAGCCTAGCAGGTGATGAAAGCATGCGGAGGTAATTCCAAACCGCCGTTCAGAGGCTGCAGCAACGTCTGCCGAGCCCCGCTGAGTAAACTGACCCCAGCCCTGACATTGCCCACAACAGCACCAGGTGCTGGGAGCCTCACCCGGCGGCAGAGCTCTCCCACCACCCTGCTGCTCCTATAGAAGCACCAGTGTTTGCTGAGCACCGGCGTTACGGAAGCCGTGTCGACGCCTCGTCGGGAACCGCCGCTGTCTGTTTGCTCACTCTCTCCCTGACCCCGGTGCAGGTCGATCCCTGCTGGTGCTGTCTGCTGAATCAAGGGGAGAGCCCTTAAGAGCCTGACACAAGCACCCCGGGCTGTGCCAGCCTCATCTTGCACAGGAGACCCGCTTACCACCATAAGCTGGGTGAGTTGTCTTAATTACAGGTTAGTGGAAGAGCTTACAGGCTATTCATTCTGGTTCCTCAGCACAGCTTTTCCATCCCTCTTCTCGTACTGACATCCAGATTTTAATGCGTATCCAAGTCACCAAGAAGGAAGTGGATTTTGCATGGGGCATCTGCATTTGGCCCTCCCCGGAGCAGTTTTGGGGTCACTGCATTGTAGAATTCCACTTGCCAGGGCGGAGGAGAGGGAAGCGATTTCATTTCATGTTAGTTATGTCCTAATGCTTTAAAAGATTTTCGAGCGCCCGAGCTGTCAAATTAATAGTTGAAATCCCACAAGCATTATATACTTTGTGTACATCCTCACAATTACATGAAGAAATCCCGTATTACCCAAAGGTCTTTTTTTAATGAGTGATCGCTCATAAATGGCATCGCATCAACACAGACACTGGCTAGAAGAAGCCTAGAAAAATGTTATAAAGCAGTTTTCACACCTTTACAGTTTAGTTTGAATTAAAAAAGACAAAAACTTTTCACTGATAACATCCCAGGCAGCTTTAAAAATCTATAAGGGTCTGGGTTTGGGGGTTATTGTCCTACCTTCATTAGTGATTTATCTTGCCTTCTAATGTCCACCAAGTGCAGGTTACCAATGATCGGAAGAGGAGTTGGACCAGGAGGAAATTTAAAAGCTGAATTTTTATAGCCAGTTGAAAAATAGACTACAGCTAATAATACTGCTGCACACAGCAGAGAAATTAATGTAGGATCAGAGATAAATGAAATTAAAAAAGACATAATTATTTCAGCAATAATCTGTTTGGGGGGAGCTAGAAGCAATAAAAATGCAGTGGCACTGTTCAGTTTCTGCCAGCTGGCTCTCTGTTTGCTCTCTGCGATCGCTACAAGCACTCGATTCTTATTAAGGTTTGTAGAGTACCTAAATAAATACTGCATACTCCACCCTCTTTAAACACCTCAGAGAATGTGGTCTAAGCAGTTTGTAAAGCCTGTCCAGAAGTAAAGAGAGTTTCAAATTACAAACCCATGCATGTGTGTGCAAGAACATATACATGGGAAAAGGTGCTTGGCATTCTTCTATAACCTCCTCCTCCCCTGAGACCTCAGGGTCCTTCATTAGCAGCACTGTGACCCTTCAAACACTCCACTCACACTGAGAAATAAAAAGGTTTCCTTGAATCCTATTAGAAATCTCCAGGTTTAGATTTGGTTAGGATTTGAGATCTCTGTGTTACTAAGGAGAAAAATAGTATTGTTATGGGAAACTTCAGCTTTCTTGATGTCAAATGGAGATCAAAGGTTGTTAATGATGGTAAAGCCCATGTATCCCTGGAGGTTCTTCGTAAAGTCAGCTCTGAACTGCCCAGAAGGGATGGGATTTCAGACTTGTGTCTGAAGGAGAGGACATGTAATAGCTAGCCATGGAAAATTAGCTTGGATCAAGTGATCATGAGTGGATTCATGAGTGGAATGGAAAGACAAAATTAGATTTGAAACTTTGGGGAAGATTTTTCCTTTTGCAAGAGCAGCTTCTAAGAAACAGAGGAAAGAAGTTGATGAAGTTAATGAAACCAGATGACCTGTTAGGCTTCAGAAGGGGAACAAGAGAGAAGAAAGGAATGATTTTAAATTAAAGATGCTAAACACCTGGAGCTTGCATCCCTCATAAAGGTTTAAATCCTGTATGGAAACAATTGAATGGTTGAATAGTGGTTTTCAGGAAGACATTGGGAATAAACAGTCAATGGAATAAGACTGTTCAGGGAAGAAAGAGCTATCTTACATGATCAGGAAGTGCAAGGTTAAAGGTACATTTGTCCAAAGGTTAGATCATATAAAGGCCATTATTCAGCAAATATGGGTCCTAAGCAAATGCAAAATTAGGGAGGGAAGTGGACCTAATCTGAAGTGAGACACAGCAATGGTTAGCATGGTCCCAGAGCAAACAGCTGCTGGTTGCACACTGGAGCTGCCTGAGCAGTGTGGAGATGTTACAGCCCCAGAGACACCCAGAAGCAGAAGAAGCCCGTTGTGTTGCAACATTTCTGGGATATTTTTTTTTTATTAGTTTCCAAGAAATGGGCTGGAGGCAACGGTTTCCCCCAGAGCATGCCAAGGATGACTCAACCTGCCTGCTCTACTGCGCGGAGAGGCAGAGGGGCTGTAAAGACAGGCAAGCAGGATCAGGGCTGGCACAGGATGCAGAACGTGGGCACCACGATGAGAACTTGTGATGGTATAATTATGCTTTGTGCCCTGTGCAAAATGTTTGTTCCTGCGGGGTTTTGTTTCACTGGCAGCACCCTGCAGTGCAAAAGTTACGTGCTGCTCTCCTGGTATTTCATCCTTGCCCTGGAAGCTGCTAAAATCATAAAAAGGCCTTTCAGAAAGAGACTTAAATTATCTCTGAAAAGCCAGGGGGGGGAGCGTATTGAGGTTTTCTTAAACCAGGCTCTGAGTGCAATGCATTAAAATGACAAAAGGTAAGTAAAGCTCTTGCAATGACAAGAAATTCCTGTCTCAATAATGCGTCTGGTACGTGTTTCACTCCGGAGCTGCGCTGCTACGTGCTCCCCTGCCTGAGCACACAGAGCTGAGCACAAAGCACCTGCCAGGAGCTGACACTGCTCTGGGTGCATTCCTGGGGCAGCCAGGCCCCTCGGGGTGCTTGCAGCCAGGTTGTCCTCCATCCCTTGTGCCCACACGGCAATCTCCTGCCACAGCATGTGAAGCCAGTGATGGTGAGGACGTGGAGCATGGGCGTCATCCAGCAGCCTGTGCTGCCAGTTAGCCAGCCTGGGGAGAGCCAACCAGTAAAGCACCAGCCCTGCATCCTTTAAATTAACTTAAATCCCCCCAAATCTCTGCACCTTCCCTGTCAGTCCCATTCTTGACCAGCAGTGCATCCAGGACCACAGCCTCAGATAACTCCTGCTGGCGTTACTGTGATGAGTTCCTTCTAAGCAAGGGCAGGAGCCATAAGAATCACTGTAATAGACCACAGCAAAGACCCATCCAGAGCCACATCCTGTCTCAGACAGCAGTTGTGATTTTCTGGGATTGGACATCCAATTATTTCCTTGAGCTCTTTGTAGCTATGAGTATTGCTTACTCTTTGCATTGCTAAATGGGTCTTGGCTGCGTGTTGCCAGGGATCCTTGTCTAGAGTGGGTGTATTAAAGGCAGCGCAACCCAACTTTATCAGTTTGACCCCAAATCAAGTTCATCCTGCAACAACAGATAGATCAACAGCAACAGAGCAAAATATTTATTTCTTAAGCAGGAGATAAGATCAGGCTTGCGGTAGTTACACTGCAAATAGAGCAACAGCAAAACAAACATAAGCGAGAGTTACAGACTCCTTGAGATGTGACCAGAAGCTGGGGCTAGCACTGTGGTAGGTACAATGCACATACAAGTGCAATACCACTGCAATAGCAGTACAAGTACAAGGTACAGTGCAACTATTAGAGTGCTGCCTTTAGTTACATGAACTAAAGCTAGTGTGAAGAGTCTGTATCATAGCCAAAGACTGCCCCAACTTGTCATCCCTTCATATTCTCTTCCTCCTTTCTTTCCTTCCATTTGCAGCATAGATCAGCTTTAGGTGACAGCAGCTTTAGTTTTATGTTATATATTAACCATACCTGCCCCCTCAGTCTCTGTAACTTTCTGTTTCTCCCTTTTTTAATTTTCATCCCAGCCTGTCTTTCTTGCCTCAACCAGCACAAAAGCATCTTCAGTGACTCACTGCTCCCTAACCCACCTGTGGTTTCCTCCTTGTTTCACAGCACACACAGCAGCCTCCTCTCTTGTACCTGCACCAATGTTCAGATCTCACACACGTATCATGCTTCCCTCAACTGGTGTAGCCTTGTGGGTATAGGTAGGTGTTCCTACTCCTGATGGCTGTTACATGAAATAGATCATTAATTGTGGTAGTCAAACAGTTGCTCTAGGACAGCCACAGTCTCTGGGGTGTCACCAGCTTTCTGCAGAGACCCCACAGGACAAGTTAATGGTACAGGTGAATGACTTGGTAACAAAGCCTATCCTGCTTCTTTTTCCAGACTCTATTACCAGTTTTACATCTGTTTTCACAGCGACTACATTCAAAATCCTATTATCCGTGACAGTGATGCAGGATCTCTGCTGGCAGAACATGAACATTACCAGCTCTGAATTTGTAACTTCACTTCCTATGAAAGTGGCCAAAGCACATTCTGCAAGCACCAAAATCTCACTTGCGGTTCTTACTGCAATGGGCCTGCTCCTGCTGTGTGCTGAGCACATGTAACTTCCATGGGAGCCCATGGCAGTGGCGTTTGCTCAGTGGTGCAGGCTGAGCTGTTACTCTGCCTGGAGACCTTGCTGCCTATCCCTGACATAAGGAATGTATAAAGAGGAAGACAGCTTGAAGTTGCTGGCTGGCTGTAGCTCTGCACCAGCTGCACAGCCTCTGTGTACCTGGTCTGGAGCTGAAGACAAACAGCATTTTCTAAAGATTTGAAGCTGTATTTTCAGTTAAATGGAAAATACTGTCCTTATTCATCCTAACACTCCTGATACATGAGACTGAAGTTTGAACTGGGAGCCTGTGAAGGATGGTTCACCCTGCAGTCAGTAGAGACAGTAAGCAATTGAGACCTTATGGCAGGTGAATCACCCACTGAAGGAGCCTTTCTCTTTCTTTGTGGAGGGTAGAGAGGGTCTAGAGAGCGACTACAGCTCCTAAGGTGCAAATGGAGAAGAGGGCTGAGACTCTCTTAGCTCTCTGACGGGAGCGTGGCAAGTCCTGCTGCCCAGCCCCAGGCTGCATCACCTTCACACTGCCTTGGCCTTGTGTCCAGCTTTAGCTGTGTGGATTCAGAAACTTCACTTTGTTTGGCCAGTCATTTTCTGCCAGTTTAGGGGTCTAAGATGGCCCAGTAAGGGGTCAGACAAGTGCCAGAGACAGCACGAAGCCAGGGTAGGTAAGGGAGGTGTAGAAATGCCTTTCTCAGCAGATGCAGAAAGCTGCTAGATTGGCCCCATCATAAATAGGCTCTTCAGCATAAAGTGCCTAGTGTGAGTTGGAATGAACCCACTTCCCAAACCACTTAGATGTTTTCTGATAACTGTCCCGTGCCTGGCGCTTGGCATCAGCCCATGTTACACCCTCGTGTCTGGGACTCTGTAATAAAGATAAGGCAGGTTGTATCGCACAATGGAAACTCAGTCTGAAGCTCAGCTGAACAACTGTACTAGGGAGATTTCTAGATCCATTTAGTGTCTGTTGTCTCCAGCAGGGTCATCAAAAATCAGCTCTGCCAATTTTCTCAGCTTGAAGCTTACACTTCAGGCTGAGAAATTCCCCATGGAGGCTCTTAGGGGAGAGCCTCTGATGGGTTACATCTATACAGGAGCCTTGAAGCCATTTCATTCTTTCAGACAGCCCTGAAAACTGCATCTCTGATGTGCTGTTCCAGGAATGAATCACAGTTTCTGAGAGCAGTACTCAGGGGTGTCTGAAGGATCCGCATTAGACAGACACCACAAAAGCTGTTGGAAAAAATGGCATGAATGAAAGAAAAAGAGCAGTGCCTGGTGTCTTCCGTTTCCCTAAAGCTCAGGTACAAAAAGCTTTTTTCCCCTTAACTACACTTGCTTTCAAGCTTGAAGTGCTCACTACTCAAACTCCGTGTTGTCTGGTCCTTCATAAGGCACAGCACAAACCAAGTGAGGCATGGGGTTCAAGGTAAAGCCAACATCAGCAGTGAGATCCAGGTCTGACTTATCCACTCCTGGAGGGGGCTGGAAAACAAATCTGCGGAGCAAGCCAGCAAAGAAGAGGAACAGCTCCATTTTGGCCAGTCCTTCTCCAACACAAGCCCTTCGTCCTGAAAACAGCCAGGAGAGAAGTATATGGTGAGTGCTGTAACTGTTACTGTTGATGTCCGAGACCTTTTAAACTGGATGTACAATCTGTAAGAGCAGGCTGCTCAGGTAGGAAATGCCTTCCTTCTCCCTGTATATTGGAAGTGCTACTGACCTAGTTGCAAACTTCACTGAAGCCTGTAGGTATGTGAAATTATTCAGTGACTGTGGGTAGATCAGTGTCTGCTGGATCTCCCAAAGAGGTGATTACCTGCAGCAATGGTGGACAGGAAAAACGACCAAAAATCCCTTATCCTATGTTCTATGTCCCTGACTTTCATATTTGCCTAGAATCAGGGGGAACCATGGCATTAGCCCAGACCCAGGTGGTACACACACACCCCTCTCACCTATAGAGAATGGAATAAACGCTTCTCTCCTAATGAAGTTCCCATTGGCATCCAGGAAGTGGGAAGGGTTGAACTGATCTGGGGTTTTCCAGTGTAACTCATCATTCAGAGCAGAGGTCAGCAGTGGAATAATCTCTGTACCCTGAAAGGGACCAAAGAAACTCACAGTAGCTGTTTGGACCAGATCACTTTCCTAGTCAAGGCTAGCCACTTGGTTTTTTTCTAATGTGAAGAGAGAAATAAGACTGAGCCATGGCAAATAGAACTGGGGAACGCTTCTCTGCCCCACTGTAGCTCTGCCTGCTATCAGTAGCTGCTGCTGTCTTTTTGGACCACAGAACAGCCCCTTCTTAGAGTCAGATCTTTAAAGAAAGGGAATGAATGAATGAATGCTGAAGTAAAGGTTCCACATTTGGTATAAGAGATTCGAACCAGCGTGATTTAATTAAAGTCTCTGGTTATTCAGGATTCAAAGACTGCAACAGACGACAGTCCAGTGCCTGTTTATAGCAACTACTCTAGATCCAAGACAAAGGATCACATCATAGATTGAACCACACATCGTGGCATCTTTAGATTTTTATATTTTGATTCTTAACTGCTTTAAACAAAACTGTAAGGAATCTGTGCAGCATAAGCTGCTAGCCTCAAAGCTCACCTTAGGAATCACATAGCCTTGGAAATTCACATCGGTAGGAGTTGATCGTGATACGCCCATTGGGACAATATTGGCAAACCTTTGTATTTCATGTATCACTGCATCTGTGTAAGGCATTTTTTTCCGGTCCTCCAACTTAGGCATCTCTCCTGGTTCAATGACGTGGTTCATTTCTTCCTGAATCTTTCCTTGGAGGGAGGAAAGGTTTAAGAAGCTGATAACCCTCTTATCTTGCAACTGAAATTGCCTCCAGTTTGGCCAGGGTGAAGTAATGGAAAATTTTGAGGGGTATTTGGGAAGAGCAGAAGTGTGTGATCAGGGCATGGTGTGGTTCTTTCAGGTTTGTTGTTGAGCCAAAGGAGCTTGTAGTCACTACAGTACATCCCATGCCTGATTCTGATTACACACCTTTGTTACCCCATAACCTTCAACAGAAACCAGATCAGAATCAGCTCCTGAGGAGACCTTTAGTGACGTAAGCCCATAGCCTGCAGGTGAATAACTATGGGGGATCTTTACTGTTAACTGTAGACTGGCCCTCAGCCTCTCCCACTTGGCTGGGCTGCTTTATTGCAATCCAGCTGAATAAAATTCCTTTGTAAAGTCAACGGTTGTTATCTCTCTCAGAATACTCAGAATAATTACTCTGGACAACAACGGATGAGTTCCACTCCCTTCCACAACCAAAGCCTTAAGCATGCATTAGTATATTGTACAAGAGGACTCCTCAGCCTTACTCTGAATTTCTGGGTATTTCATCATCAGAAGAAGACCCCAGCGCACAGTTGTAGAAGTAGTCTCAGTCCCAGCAGCAAAGAGGTCCAGGGTTGAAAACATCAAGTTTCCATTGCTGAACATAGTTTGGCCTTTCTTTGACTCCTTCAAAACATACAGGTAATGGCCATAAGTTCTACAGCAAGTGATACCAATATATGACTGTGTTGCTACCATTTTGTCTGCAATTTGGCTTTTGGTGACTTTATATGCTCTGGGAAACTATATGTCTAGTGGTGGAAATGCCTTTCTCAGCAGAAGGGCCTATTCTGTATGGAATTCGTCTGGTCCCAAGTGTATGCACAGTCCCTAGGTTAGGGGAGGTTAGTTGGCATTTAGCTACTGCAATGAAGTTAATCACTTATTATTCTTACAGGAAGGTTTAGGATGATCTCCTCCTTATGTGTGCTGAGTGGTAACTTATTTCACTTACGTGGGGCATCTTGACAACTAGATCCCTGTAACCAGCAGTTTCAGTGGAGCTATGGAGCGAGCACAGCGCGGCTCAATGTGAGTATGAGCTTTGATATGTTCTGCTTATTGCACTTCTGTTTCCACTCACTCTCAGTCCCACACAGAGGATCAGCCCTAATAATAAGTCAGAGCTAAGAGAACAGAAAGACTCAGACTTGGCTTTAAAGTACCTGTTGCTGCTTCATCAGAAAGGCATCCACAAAGCCTGTTAAGTTATTTTCATTAAACTCTTCCTTGTGTGCCTGGAATTGCTTCTGGAGGAAAGCATTCAGTTCACTGATGTTTTGCAGCACAGTCCTGGAAGCTCCAGAGAGAAATCCAAGGGATGGGTAGAAATTATATAACTGTGGAGCAAGAGAAGCCTTACTGTTAATTGGCATTTTGAACATACACCGCTGTCCCAAACCACACTGCTGGTCCCTTGTCCCATGCCCTGACATCTCAGGCCATAATTCCCCTGCATTCTCCTGTACAGTCCAAGCAGATATGAACTTGTGCAGAAATAGAGTGTTCTCTCTGTTATATCTCTGCATGAGTCCTCGACACGACTTTTGGGAGAATCATCAGTTTAATCTTTGAGGGCTTCCAGCTGTTTAGGTGTTGAGCTACAGGGTTTCAGATGTGAAAGATGAGAATGTGAGCATTGTACTTATTTCAGGAGAAGATCTCAGGTGTGTCACATCCTGTGGCAGCAGAAGGGACTTGAACTGACCACCTCCACAGACAAACAATATTGCTGTGTCAACATGGTGCTTTCCAAGCCACTTAGGCAGGGCACCAAGCTAACCCAACTATGCTGTTCCTAGGAGCATAGACATACGTGCTGCCAGGAAAAAGGAGGGGTCTCACCCCATCAACCCATGAGAGGTGTGCACAAGAAGTCCACTAGCTGCCCTGCCAGACAACTGAACAAACACCAGCCGTTAGCTGTCAGCTGGTGCCTCATTCTGGGATGGTCTCTGTACACAGTGTGTAACTCTGACCTGTGTTTGCATGGTGGTTTGAGGGGCTTTGCTAGTCTGGTGTTACAGCTGGCCACAGACCTCACTGTGGCTGAGAAAGACAGCTCCGCCGGTGTTCAAAGCTGAAGCTTTGTGTCAGGAGGGAACAGGCTTATATCAGCTGATAGTTTGCTAAGATTGAGTTTCAGTGGCCAAAATAAAAGAAAAAGAAGTTTGTCAAACCTGGTTCTAGGAGAGGCAGAGACAGTTACCAAAGGTGTGTGTAATACAAGGAGACAGATTTGAGATGGTATTTCAGGATCTGTCTAATACGAGAGACGTATTGTGCTTCTGCTCTTCAAAGAGGTTAAAACAGTTCCTTTGTGAAGACTTTAGCATTTTTTCTTTTACTAATAAGATTCACACAGGGGCCTGGGAATCTGTGTGTTGTGGAACTAGAACCACAGATGTGTTCTGTACAGGCTGGCTGGCTGGCTGATAATGTTCTTGCTCTGAAGAAGCAAGCTGTGAGAGGCCAGAAGGACAAACACAGGCAGCCAGATATCCCCCCAAAACTAAAGGCTAAAACATAAAATCAAGCTCTTACCAGCACCATAGGGGAGCCCAACAGCTTAGTATTTTCATTCATCAGCTTCAGCAAAGTCAGAAATACAGGATCATCATATTCAAACCTCTCTCCAAACAATATAGAGCAAATGACATTGGACACAGCATTGTTGAGTATCATTTTTGTGTCAAATGGTTTCCCTGTATTTGAAGCAATGAAAACAAATGACAATATGATGATGCTTATTTTAGTCTGGTTTCCTATGGAAATGTAGTCCAAAAAATACCCTCATTCACCACCCAGAATCCATGGCAGATAACTCAGTTTCAAGGTTTTAAGGCTTCAGTTTAATAACCTGCTTCAGCATACGCTGAACTTTAACCATGAGATAGCATTTACTTAGAGTTAAACTTTCATTAATCTTTATTGTTCTGCTAGACATTTTTTTTTGTCTCTGGATGTAAGTCTTGACACTCACCATGGTAGGATTCAAAATATTTGATAAGGGAATTTACTTCCTCCAGGATTCGTATCTCAATGGTTCTCTTTCCCATTCCGAAATCTCGCAGTGTGGACAAGGTGAATCTTCTCATAGTTTTCCATAGCTCTCCATGGCTGAATGCTATGCCTAAAATAAAGGTGTAACATCCTTATGTTACCTGTGGTTAATAAACGTTGTTAAGACCTTCTTACACACCAGTACCAAAGCTGCTTGACACACTATTACATAGACAAAAAGCAATCTGTAAGAGCTTGATAATCCCTGCCTGCGAGAATATAATGAACACAGACCCAACCGACCAAAAGGTCACTTACCATTTCCTTGTGTCATTTTCCTAAATATGGGTATTTCTGCCCTCTCTCCAAATTCTTCAGCATGATTTAAAAGGGCATCCTTGATGGTTTCATAGCCAGCCAGTACCACAGCTTTCCTGGGTCCAAAATGCACAGTGAAGACATTGCCGTATATCTTGGAGAGCTGTCAAGGTGAATAAATATGTTCATTCTGAACCCAATCTGGACCTAAAAGCTAGCAATAGCCACCCTAGGTGCTTTCTAGCCCCAAAGGAGCCTCCTGGCCCTGCCTGAAGTCTCCAGGTGCTGCTACAATGCAACTAATGAGCAACAGCTATCAATTGCCAGCATCTTTGCTTGCACCTTGTTTGCACAACAAGGTGTCTGCTATCACTGCTTCTATCGGAGAAGTCAATAAAATGCCATTGCATTCCTGTGGTGTTCTGCAGTAACAGGCCAGCATAGTGATACTACCATTTGGAGGCTGGTTGGAAACTGCTGTAGCAGGCAGCTGAGGCAGGCCTGTTTACTTTAACGCTGGTGACCTGAGGCAAGCGGGTGTGCATACATCTTTGAGGCCGAAGCCACAAACACTACAAAAACAAAGCTAGACAATAAGTCTTTCTTTCAGGACAGCACTTGTCCCTAATTATGTCAAGGTGGGTAGTGTTGCAGTCATCGCGAAATTATTTGCTGGCCACCAGAAACTTGAATCCAACTAGGAAGCAGATTCTTGTAGATAATATCAGAGGAGCTCTAGGCTTTTACAGCAAATTAAATCTGAATCATCTGTTACACAGAAGGGTGGCTTTGACAATCTAATCATTCACTCTGTATTTTAGACTTGGTTTAAACACACTGCAAGCCATCCGCTCCAAATGTCTTCTTGTTTCCGATGCGCCTGAGTTAGCATTTGCTATGTATTAGATACATTCTGAAAATTGAATTTCAGATTAGAAGCAGCTCCCGTTATTACACCAGACAAATTGAATTTGTTTTCATCAAATGGTGGTTTGACGGCTTGGGAGATAACATTAACACTGGTTCTTTCATCCCCGGCAGCTCACAGAGTGTGTGGCAGAGCCAGGGGCAGAGAATTGCAGCCGACTCCTAGCCTTCCTGTGGTCATTTCTTTGCATTAGTACTGTACTCTTGGCATCAACCTTGTTTATTTTTAGCAGCACCATGTATTGGATGTGGCAGGTCTGAAAGCCTATAAAAGCTGCTTGGCAGATTATAGGAAATAAGTCTGGTGCCTTCGCATGACATTTGTATTATTAAATACCCCCGTACCACCAAAAAAATAGCTGTTCTTCCATACCAGCACCCTCAAATATACCCATGATCAGGTGGGAGCTCAGGACCAGAAGCCCGTCATTGGGCTCTTCACAATCCTCTGCACTGTAAATCAAAGCAGGTGAGCACTGCATGACTGCTACAGGAATTCTGTACTTTTGCACCCTAGGGTACCCTTTCTTCTATGACAACCTGGAAGATTTCAGTGTCTGCACTCCCCCCCTCATTGTGGCTCTTCAGGTGGCTGAGAGAATTTACTGGGGACTGGGTTTCCCCCATCATAGTGTCTGGTAAGCCCACATGTAGGGTATGTGACAGGTCATTCATGGCACCTCAACTGTTTCTACAGCAACCGGAAGAAATCTGAATTCACATTGACGTGTCCCCACCACCCTAACGGAACACAGCAGACACTTTCTGAAACAAATATTGCACCTGGATTTATAATATTTAAGTCTTTTTTTTTTCCCTCTTTTAGTGATAAAAGTATCCATGGAGCTGCATAAGAAAAAGCTATTTGTTACCTAGACATATAAAAGCCGTGCATCAAGTCTTAACTAATGCTGGGCAGTGTGTGTGTGCAGGGGAAGGGCTGGGGAGGCAGAGCTGAGCTTTGCCTTGAAGGGGTATAATTAGCTTTGGAAATAAATGTGCATATGATACCATTTCCCTGGAAGTGTTCAAGGCCAGATTAGATGGGGCCTTGAGCAATCTGGTTGACTGAAAGGTGGCCCTGCCCATGGCAGTGTGTCAGAGCTAGATGATCTTTAAGGTTCCTTCCAACCCAAACCATTCTGTGATTCTATGATTTCTTCTGCTGTGGGCATGGTACCCTTCCTTCCTTTCTCCTTTTCTTCCTTCCTACCTACCTTCAGTGGGAAAGGTTTATCTGCAGCGAGACATCTCTTCAAGCCAAATAGCCCATATCTGTCAGCAGGCTGGTCCAACCTGAGTCTTCTACCTGCAGACTCTGAGGGGCTCAAAATATCAACAATATGGATCTGATTGCAAGGGCTGGGGTCTACACTCACATGTATATAAAGGAAGGAATACGTGTATTATAGTTATATAAATAGATACATGTGTGTGCATATATACCTCTAAAGATAGTCATTCTGCCAGCCTGGCTATACATCAAATATATAATTTCTGCCCTCCGCACAATGCAAACACAATCACATCTCCATTTCCACAGTTGTGTTTCTCATTCCAGGAATTGCATGTTTTCCTTCTGCCTGCTCACTCAGACCCTACCTCTGTCAGCGACTGGAACGGCTTTTTCAGGTCCACCACATTCAAGTTTCCAATCAGAGGAAGAGGACGTGGCCCAGGAGGCAAACTGCAAACAGACTTCTTCAAGCTGGTAACGAAGTAAAGGAGAGCAACCAGACCTGCTGCCAGAAAGAGCAACAAGCTAGAGCCCATGTACTGCAGCAAACTCTGTATGGCCATTTCTAAATCAAAGTGTGGGCATGAGCATCTTGGGGTCCCTTTATAGCATCATCTGAACACACCTTCTGGGGAAGTGGCTTTACATGGAGAAAAGGAGCCTAAGTCTTGTTTACTTCCACTTAGGCCAGATGTATTTTATTTTTCTGCCAAAGAAAGCACCCTATTTTATTCTGAAACATGGATTATCTTAATCTGGAGCTCTTATTTCATTTACAACACTGGGACAAGGTGTTTGTTTTCCAGTGAAAATCTGTGTTGTGGACATGTTGTGGTATATGTGATTTCAGGCACAGAATTAAGGGACCGCTCTGGGTTGCTGTCAGGGTGCCAGGTCACAGGACTCAGCTGGACCACTGGTGATGTAAGCTTCCTTGGTGATTCCTTCCCAAGAATGCCTTGTCCTTTCCAAAATACTGGGCGCCAAGCCTCATGCAGGCTATTGCCATTGGACATGCTCAGGATTTCTTTGGAGGTGTCTCGGGCTTTTTTGTCCTCTTCCTTTGCATCCTCTTTCTGCTGCTGCATTGTCTGTATCTGATGGACTGATGTATCTGGTGGGCAATTGGTTTACTATTTTCAAAAAGCTTATTTACGACTGTACTTGCTGTATGCTGTACCTTGCGATACTGAAATCTATATTGACTCTTGTTTATATATGGATACTGTTATAACATCTTTGTTTAGTATTGACTTCCTTCCTTGGGAAGGAAGCAGGACACGGGAGGGAAAGCCCCCAATAATGCATGGCCCAAGGGACAGCTGGCAAGGAAGACCTCAGGGAAGACAAGGCTTGCCGAGGAGGAGTTGGAGTGATGGTAACATGAATATGTGCTAGTTCAGATTGCAGATGGGAGTAGGTCTACTTGCAGGTGACAGCTCTGTTTTCTTGCTACCCCAGTAAAATCACCTCTTTGAGCAACACAGTGTTTTCACTGCTGATGCTGTATTGATCTTCGTCCCCAAAATCCTCTACCAACAATCCCAAAATGACCCTGAAAACACTTCTGCCTCTATTTCACAGTTTACTGTCCAGAGGACTGTGTGCCTGGATGTCCATCATTGTCTCCAAGTCTGGTGATGACTCTTTCCTGTTTGTCCTGCCTGTTTACAAGCAGAGGCATGCAATCCTGGAGGAGAAGCTCTGTCCTGTCCAGCCAATATTTCTGCCTAGGTTGGGAAAGAGATCCTGGATCTTTGTAACCTGGGAGGAGCCAGGGTCAGGCTCTGCAGGTGCCCAGGCAGAGGATGGAGGACAGTGACTGCCTGGGCAGCAATTGCAGAGCTATTGCCAGGAGGAGCACACAGCAACAACCCTGGCACTGCAGGTGAACTGAGTCATGCACCATGCCAGAGCATGGTCCTGCAAGAGCCTGCATGCCTGGGCAACAGCTCCCCAAGGGCCTTTTGCATCCTTGGGGTATGACAACATAGCAGAAATGAGCATGAACAGAAGGCCACAGTTTTAAATGGTGGCTCTGGGGGGAAGAAGCCAATGTGATGCTCTATCACATATTCTCAAGTGGGGATATTTTGCCCCCCAGTTGCAGATTCTGTCAGATTATTGGGCCGTGCTGCTGTTCTACCCTCAGAAATCTTTAGTTTTAATAAATACTTTTCCTAGAATCCTGCAAGGCTCCCGGGCGCAGGCTCCACTGATGGAAAAATGATGATTATTTATTAATACAAGTACATTAGCCGAAGGCAAGGGGAATTAATAAACTATAACTAGATTGACATGAAAAAGGTGCCTGCACATCTGCCTCGTCTCCAAGGCTTGTTATCAGGAGTGGAGCTTTTCCCAGGGGAATTGTCCTGTGCAGAAAAGAACTAGGCAGGGTGGACAGAGAAAGGAGGGCAATGGATGGTCATGTCCATATCATAATCGCTGCACAACTATGGAGTCCTGGTCTGCACCCTCTTGTCCCAGACATTTCTAAGAATACCCTGTTGTGCCAGACTCTTGTCTGAGCAAATGGTGTGTCCACTGAGACTCTTGAGACTTTATAAGATACAGTAAGAGTGATGAAACACCCTTCATGGGCCCATCTGAATACTAATGGAGAAAATGTTGCTCTCCACTCCCAAAGACAAAAGTCTTTGTCTTTCTACCAGCCCAAACCAGAACTGATATCATCTTCAGGTAAGCAACTTTGTGGGCATAGCTCAGGGAAATAATTCAGTTCCTCCTAGAAAATGAGCCTGTATATTAAACAGCCACAGAGTCGTCTAACTTCTGTGTGCTCATCTGGAGAAGGATATATAATCTTCTACTGGGACACAGGTTAATAATGCTACAGTAACAGTAGGATAATGCTGAGAAAGAGCTGTTATAAGGCCATAATTCAGTCAATGAGTTCTGATAACATAATAAACCAGGAGAGTGAACACCAAGTGCTTGTGTGCCTTGCAAGGCTCTGCTACTGATTTACAACCTCAGGAGATGCCTATCAGCCCATGCATTGTTATCAGGGATATATAAAGCATGAGCACACCCTATTAAACATTAACATTCTTAAAGGCTCAGATGCGTTAAAACTCAAGCTGCTCCTTGCTAATGGATTTTGCTCACCTTGAAAAATGCCAATGCAAAAAGGAATCAAAAGCTTTCTGACTTTGACCTCTTTCACTTTTTCATAATTATGGCATTGTTTTATTGGATTACACCTGCTTCTTCCCATCCTGGAGATTGGTATTTCTACAGGATCACTACACTGATCACTATCTCAAGTGTTTGCTAGGCTCATTTCGATACAAATAACTTGCACTGGATTGCCTTTCATTTATCTGTCAAATCAGTGTGTGGTTCACATCTACTGTGAGAAGAAAGACCCTGAAAATACACTTTAAAAAAAAAACCAAACCATTATTTCACTGCAAAATTCCAATGAAAGATTCTTTGGGTGTTTTTTTTTTCCATATTCTAAGCTGAAAAATTGTATGTGATGGGCCTGGTCACTGAGAGAAGAAAATATCATGTATGTGCATAGGACTAGTGCATTGTCTCTGCAGAGCCTAGAGTGACAGTATTTCCCTCTTCTGTTAAGCATTTGCCCCTTTTAGCCACAAACCATTCTCAAGAACTTTGTTGCTTTTAAAAGCCTTGTTCTTGACTGAATAGATGTCATTCCTTCATGAGTCTCACTTGGTGATACATGGAGATCCTGGGATTCAGTGCTTTTAATGTACCTTATAATATGTGTACCTATAAGAATACTCTTCCAGGCCCCACACTTCAGCCAACAAGCCAAGACAGCCTGACCTGGGAAGTGAGTACTGAGGAGGTAAGGTTATAAAGAATTTATTTTCAAACTGTGGCTGAACAAATCAAATGCCTTGACATAGCTCCACAGATTTTCTTGGGTCTCTAGCTGCAGTCTGTCTCAACACAGTATTGCAGAAATCATATTAATTCAAGGGCAATTTGGGACATACCATGAAGGATGGTTAGTTGGTATGTATCAGTAGAGCCAGGGTCCCCACATCTTACTTTTGGACTCCCTGTCTTGATGCAGATAGAGATGTGGATTTAGATACACCAGAATTGCAACCCACAATGTAAGAAAGAAGTTTGCTTTGGCTTTCAGCGCAGTGTTACTATTTCTACCACATTCCCCTCTAACCTGATGAGGTTTTGGCCCAGTCTTAACAGAAAATGAGCTATCATTCTGTACATCTTTGTAGAGCGCATAATGTATTAAGGCCCTGACCTTACTGGCATGAAACTATGATTTCCCTGTAAGTGCAAAACATTAATTTTTCATTAATCATCCACAGCAGAAATCCCCATTCCCCAGACTATTCTGGCAATATTCTGCATTTTTGCTTGTCTAGGAACCTGAACTAAAAGGGAGAAAAATGGTTTACAACAGCCTGTGGCAGTGATGTAGCAAGAGACCTTATGTAAGAGCTGGCGGCATGCTTGCTGTGCGAGGGTGAGGCGTAGGAATGAGTGATCCTGGAAGGATGTTTCTCTGAGGTGTGTTCTGTGCCTGGGCTGGGAACAGCAGTCTCAAGGGCACAAATTCCAGTGTCTGAATGTGCTTGGTCTTGTTCAACTGATTAATTTCTTACAGCTATCCCAAGTCAGGCTACAAAATCCCCATGTACTTTACTCAAAGCCTTTCATGGCTTGTCTATAAATTAGTTTCAAATTAACTACCTGATAATTCGAATCTGTAGGCTCTTTAGAGATGTGCCATGAGAGAGAGAAAGTAATGAAAGTCCTGGAGTTTACCTTGCCTATATAAAAGAATAAAGGTTCCGCCCTGATGTATTATTCACTTTGGCACTTCCAAAAGTAATGCTAAGTGTGTGAAGACTCCTTCTGAAGGTACATTTGTTTAACTGATGGATAAGCACAGTAAGTTTTCAGGGTGATCTGACAACATTGCAAAAGGGCAAACATTTTTTAAATGTTACTGTAATCCATAATTAATGACTCCTTACTCCATAATTAATGACTAACAGTTCTGATTCAAGCAAAGGATTTTTGTTCTTTATTTTAACTATCCAGCTGTGTAACTTGAAAGGGGAAGACCCCAGGTTTTCCCTAGTTTGGGGAGCCTTCTAATGTTTGGAAAGGGCTCAGGACTCCAGACTGTGACTACTGTAAAACACTGCATGCTTTACAGATTATCTAATCTCTCTTGTACAATGGGCACCTTTTTACTGAAGCAGCTATTTCAGATTTCTCTGGTGCTGTGAAAGTCTCTCACTTCTTTGAAAGGTAATATGTGAAGAGCATTTAATTCTCTGTTTGTGGCACTGCTCTTTGTGGCACTGTTTTTACTGAATTCTTTTGGAACTGGTTGGTTTAAGCTGCAAATGAGGTTTTTTTCTTCGCACTGATTATCTAATGGGGGTTCATTTGATCTCCTTGGGAAAAATACATACTAAGCTGCTAAAGCACATGTATTAGAATCTAAGACAAACTGTACCTTTACAGGAAACTCTAGAAGATACAACTGACATTTGCAGTAAAAACATTAAGTAAGCATAGCCAAACACCTGCTACTATACCTGACCTGAATTTGGGTAACTACAAAGTTTAAGACTCCAAAGAAAGACATGGAGTTTATGATAAGTAATCAAAGCATTTGAATATAATGTAATACAGAAAGTTGATATAGCCTTTGCATAGAATCATAGAGTCCTTTAGGATGGAAAAAACCTTAAGATCGAGTCCAGCCATTAACCCAGCCCTGCCAGGTCCACCACTAAACCATGTCCGTAAGTGCCACATCTACATCTTTTAAATCCCTCCAGAGATGGTGACTCCACCACTTCCCTGGGCAGCCTGTTCCAGTGCTTGACAACCCTTCTGGTGAAATTTTCCCTAATATCCAACCTAAACTTCTGCTTGCACAACTTGAAGCCATTTCCTCTTGTCCTATACTTTCACATAGTTGTAGAAAGTGATAAGGTCTCCCCTCAGCCTCCTTTCCTCCAGGCTAAACAACACCAGTTCCCTCAGCCATTCCTCATCAGACTTGTGCTCCAGGCCCTTCACCAGCTTCACTGTCCTCCTCTGGACATGCTCCAGTATTTCAGGTTCTCTCTTGTAGTGAGGGGCCAAAAGCTGAACATGAGTTGAGGTGCAGCCTCACCAGTGCCCAGTGCAGGTGGGCAGACACTGCCCTGGTCCTGCTGGCCATACTATTTCTGATACTTGCCAGGATGTCAATGGTCTTCTTGTTCACCTGGGCACTTGTCCACTTGTCCACCAGCACACTGCTGGCTTGTGTTCAGCTGCTATTGACCAACATCCCCAGGACCTTTTCCACTGAGCAGCTTTCAGGCACGCTTGTCCAAGCCTGTAGCGTTACATGGGGTTGTTGTGACCCAAGTGCAAGACCCAGCACTGAGCCTTGGTGAACCTCATACAGTTGGCCTTGGCCCATATCCAGCCTGTCCAGATCCCTTTGTAGAGCCTTCCTAGCCTCCAGCAGATCAACACTTCTGCCCAACTTGGTGTCATCTGTGAGCTCACTGAGGGTGCACTTGATCCCCTTCCCCAGATCATTGGTTAAGATATTAAACAGAAGTGGAAAGGATTGTTGTAGTCTGCTTGGGAATAATTCCACTGTGGGATCCCTGAATATCTTTTCCCTTTGATTTCTTCCTTCATCACACAGAGAATCAGAAAGTCAATCACTATGCCAGGAGCTAAGGAACGTAATTTGGTCAGTTTGCTAAAATCAAGTGCCTTAACACTTCAGTTAAACTTGTCCAGATAAAACAAAGCTGCTTCTCTGCTGCCCAGTCTTCTAAGATCTGGGAGGCAGTTTGCTGCATGTGTTTCTGAAAGAGGAGTATCTCCCTTTTACTGTTAAGTGTTATAATGAAGTCAAGTGGAAAAGTGCTATTTACCCTATAATAAAAAACATCTATTGTTCACAGCCCTGAAAACATAATAATAAATAAAACCTTATATTTCAGGCTGTGTAAACCAGTTGCTTGTGTAACAGAACCTGGTGTAATTTTCCATTTACAATTTCAATACTGTAATAAGAAAGCAATCAAAGCATAAACAAAATGCACTTGAAATGGGCCTGCAGGTAATATTTCCATAATGGCTGTCCTTAACAATTGCAGCTGTTTCTCTCCCCCAACCAGCCTTGAATTCTACTTGTCTCAATAATTTAATTTAAGGAAAATCAACTTAAAAGACCAATTGCAGCCATGGGCAAAGAAGAAAAAAGACTCTAGCAGCGTCATCCACAGTTAGCACTCGGGTGGGTTAAATTAATGCTATTCCTCATCCTCCTTTCAGGATGAGATCTGAGGCTCTGCAGAGAGCGTGCAGGCAAAAGGGGTGTTCTTCTTGGTCTCTGTCCTGAGGTTTGGAAGTTCACTGTTTCCCCAGCATCTGTCAATGACCTCTTGTCTTGCTGTGTGATGGGAAGCTATCTGCTCACCCATTGCTTGTAGGAGGCATAAAATAACTCTGTGCTGCCCATCAGGTCTGTGCAAGGATGTTAACCCGTGCGGATTAATGAGGGATGAGCAATCACATCCGCTGGAGTTCAGGTCAGTGCAGCGGGATGGGGATGGCCCTTCCAAAATCCTGCGGGAGTTCTAAGGAATGTTGCTGCTGCCTCCTGGGGGTGCCTCAGCCATGTGCTGATCCCCAGGGCTCTCAGGTCACACCGCCAGCCAGAGCTGGGTCCTCAAACGTGTGTTTTTAAGTCTAGACCCAGTGCTCAGCAGCCGTGGGTGAGGAACTTGTGGTGGAGGGACCTTGACCACACACTTACGGGTGGAACCAGGAGCAGCTTTGTCAGGGCTGGATCCTGTATAAACGGAGCTGCAGACCGCGAGCTCGCCTTCTCCCTTCACCTCCAGATGAACAGACACAAGAGGACACCCATGTTCCCTACCCCTCAGCAGGCTGCCGTCCCACAGCCGTGGCTCTCACCCCTCCCGTTCAGAGAGTTCTGAGGTGACTGAGGAGCACCGGAAGGTTTTGATGAGGACCAACCTGTTTATTTGTTATCACCAGCAGCCGATGTATGGCCGCGGGAACGCCGCCGACCCGAACCCCCATCGCGCGGGGACCGACCCCAGCGGCCGAGCCCATCCCGACGGGCAGCGGCGGCGTCTCCATGGTGACCGGCGGCGGCGGTCCGCAGCGCTGACATCATTCCTACCGTGTTGCCATGGCGACACCCCTCTCCCCAGAGCGAGGCTCTCCGGTTGCCATAGCAACGTCCACGCCGTTTCCATAGCGGCGCGGCGGCGGTCATGTGCTCCGCTCGATGCGCTCGGCGCTCTGGCGCCGCTCGGTGTTCGGTTGCCTCCGGTGGCGAGCGAGTGACGGGAGGGACGTGGTCCCGGCCCGCTCCCCCTCTCCGGAGCCATGTCCACCGCCATGAACTTCAGCAGCAAAAGCTTCAAGCCGCGGCCGCCGGACAAGGGCGCCTTCCCGTTGGATCATTTCGGTGCGGTAACGGCGGCCTGGCCTCCCTGCGGCCTCTTCCCCGCAGCGCCGCGGGTTGGGGGGGGGGGCCGTGATGCCGGTTCCGAGCCCGGCGGTAACGCGGCCCTCGCTGTCTCTTGGCAGGGGAGTGCAGCGCCTTCAAGGAGCGGTTCATGGAGTGCCTCCGCGACAGCGGCTACGAGAGCGGTGCCTGCCGACAGCGCGCCATGGCCTACCTGGAGTGCCGTATGGAGAGGTACCGGCGGGGAGGGGACGGGAAGCCATTCATGCGGGAGGAGCTTTGTGGCCTTGTAAGAAGCAGGTGCCCTTGGTGGCTTCAGCAGTTTGTTTGGCTTGGTTTTGATGTGCTGTAGCTGTCCGGTGGGCTGATGGAACAACTGCATAGCCAGCTTTCTCAATGCGAAGCTTTTTTGTTGTTACTACTTTCCTAGCTATATTTGTAAGTGAAACGTTTAACTTGTTCCTCAGGTGAAGTGAAAAAAGTATTGCTTTTGCTTTTCCAGGGATGTTTCGGCCCTTGCATTGCTTTGTGGAGCTTCCTCCACGGTGCTGAGTCAGGGAGCTCATTGGGAAATGCACAGAGGGCGTTATTAAATGCACTTAAATACAAGGACTTGCATACACTGCATGGGTTGGTGAGGAGGAGGGCTGCAAATCAAAACCTATTTGAAAATCACTACAGTAAAGTAGAGCAGTATCACAA